ATTCTAATGGCTTATTAACGTCAAAGAGCTGAATTTCGGTATTGGAAACATCAAACCTGACTCGGTTCTATCCGGAATCACAACATCCTTTGCACAAATTACTTGAATCAGTATGTATTTGACGCTTTCATTTGCACATCAATAAATGCATTATTGATGTGCAACGAGGCATCGTTCACTATAAAAAATCGATTAAAGTTTAAATATATGTGATTGTGACACTGATTATGCCGAATGACCAAACGAAGGAAATTATACCATTGTATGCATTTAATATGTTCGGGTATCACAAAATTGACTTGCTTTAAAACTACTAGTACCCTTGATGCTGGCTGCTGACGTTAGGGAAGTATTCCAAATTAATGTCAACGACAAGTCAAAGGCCGCAATCGCTGGATTGCCGGGTGGAGCCGTGACCCTGGACTACGACCCTGTCACAGACTTCATTTACTGGACAAAGGAGTGGAGCATCAGACGGGTTCGTCGTGAGGGAAGTAGGGTGGAGACCGTAATGGGATCTGGAATACGCTGTGAGTGATTTTCTCCCTATTATTTCCTTTATCAGTGTACAGTATAGAAGTAACAATATTCAAATGTTAAATGGATCTACTCCTACATGCGCATTCTTCATAGAGTAAAAACATGTACATGTACTATCCTGAAAGTGTCAGGAAATCCCTTCTTTCAAATTCAAAAAATTTTGTCTAATTCATGTCTTCTCCCCTCATCTTGGTGACGTTTTCTTACTGTACCTTACAATACGCCAAAAAGCAGTTACTCAAGCAACTGGATATGATTTTAAAAACGTCATTTTGACGTTTTCAAAATCATATCCAGTTGCTTGAGTAACTGCTTTTTGGCGTATCGTATTACCTTACAATATTTCTCTTTTTTTTTGTAATATAGCCTTTGGCCTTAAATTAGACAATCATGGTGGAAATATCTACTGGAGCGATTTCAGTAAAGGCACCATCTCAGTAGCCCGGAAGGATGGCGCCTTCACCAAGACACTTCTGAACGCGACAGTTATAGGGGATCCTATGATGCTGGCCCTAGACCCCAGAAACGGGTAAGTATTTATTTTAACCCTATCTAGACCGGGCTTTTGGGGGGCTTGGTGGGACCGAGGGGGGCTCATTCGACCCCCCCCCCTCAGAACTCGCGAACGGTATGTCGCATGACCACCAAATTTTAGAGGATGGTGTACTGGAAAATTTATCATATCTACAATTTTATGTCGTTATAACGCAATATGACCTCATAATGACGCCAATAATGTGATTTCATTATTTATGAATATTTAATGGTAAAATTGTTTTGTGTTAAATAACACATCCTTTTTAACAAAAATAATATGTTACATAGGTATACATAGTTTCTCTTATTGACGATGGCATATTAATGATTTATGCTAATTTGATGATGTAATAGGCCAAAATTCAAGATGGCTGACCATGAAGCTGAATTCAAGATGGTAGACCAAGAACCGACTATATTAGGGCAGCTCTGCAGAGCTTCTCCATGGAGGTTGCTCGTGCAGCCCCTTCTAAATCCTACATCAAAGTTGGCGAGAGCAATTTAGCCCCCACCCCACCTCCCGTCTAAATATGGTTTAGATAAGACTGACAAATGGATAATACAATTGGCTGATATTATTAATGGAAATGAGGATCTCGATTGCACAATCAATTAGAAACATTTACAATTATTTGGTTGAAAATGTTAGCATCATCTTGCAGTTATGTGATCGTTGGACTGTTGCGTATTTATCACATTAAAAGTGTTTCTGTTCCCTCGTATTTACTGGACTATTTTTTTTTATAGACTCATGTACTGGGTGGTGAGGAACGCCGGAATCGACAGCGCTGCGATGGACGGAAGTAACCACGCTACCATCATCAGGGACCTGACTGATCCCCTGGCTCTTGCAATCGACTACAGAGGTGAGAATTTAAATCATAAAAATCAACAATAGACATTAAGTTATAAACTATTTCCGCACAGAGAACGTAAACAAGCGTTGTATGGGTTAAACATTCTACTTTTGAAGTGTACGTTTATGTTTATTCTTATTAGGAACTCCATTAGTAAAAAAAGTCCCTTGCTACTCTTCCTGGGGTACTGTACAATAAAATAACTTCATATAAATTAACTTCATAAATACCCGTGAATAGTTTCATCAGGTTGGTAAGACACTGAGTAAAGAGACTTGGTTGTGTAAAAAAAAGAGTGTCTCCATGAAGAATACCACATACAATTCCACTGTCATTAGTTTGGGGACTCTTATCAGGGGAAGCAATGTATCTTTTATATCACGGGAAGCAATGTATGTATCTATCTATCTATCTATTAGATGGATTAGATCAATAGATAGATAGAAGGATCCATATATAGATTAGATAGGTCTCGTCTCATAGACAGAGAATGCAGGGATTCCTATAATCATACAGCAACGCTTCCGGACATTTTCAAGCATGTCTGACAGATACTTAGGCAGTCCTGCCCATACTGGACTCGCATATTCTAACAAAGGGCGGATGAATACCAGATAGATACGAATGAGAATGTCAGTTGCTAGACCAGCCTTCTTTGCTATGGTTAGATAGTACATTCTCGGACGAGCTTTTGACAACATATAATGGATGTGTGCGTCCCAGGTCAGATCAGACGTAATAAAGACACCCAGTAGTTTGAAACATGTGACCCGCTGAATCTCTTGACCGGCTATTGTTGGATGAGGTGAATTGGGAACATTTTCCTTTTTCCTAGCACTAATTACCATATCTTTGGTTTTCTTCGCATTCACTGTAAGCGAGAAACCTTCACCCCATTCAACAACAGAATTCAGAGCCCTTTGGGATTGCCCAGGTAGAGACCCCTTTAGTATTTCTGAGTTGGTCAGGTCATCAGCATATTTGACAGGGGTTACAGACTGTGGCATACATACATCCAATGAGTTGATACATATTACAAACAACAAGGGGGATAGCAGTCCCCCCTGGGGAACACCTGACAGTACAGAATGAGGTTTAGATAGACAACTACCCCCATTTTACTCTCTGTGTTCTACCTTCTAGGTAGCTACTGATTATTTGCCATAATGGCTGTCTGATACCCATGTCCGCCAAGGTTGACAGGAGCCGTCTGTGATTGATGGTATCAAAGGCACGACTAAAGTCCACGAATACCGCGTGTATATCCAGCTTGGGTTGTGCATTAAGAGCCTCATGCCAAGACTGCAGTATGTGAATAAGAGCTGTAACGGTTGATCGTTTTGCCATAAATCCGTGTTGAGTTGGGTACAAACTCTTCGCAGTGTCCTGTAGCAGGGCGTCACGGAGAAGACCCTCCAACACTTTGCTTACACAGCTCACCAGAGAGATCTGAGGGTACTTATCAGGAAAGCGTGGCCTTGACTTCTTCGGAACGGCTTTGACAAGTGCCACTTTCCAAGGCTGCGGGAAGATGCAGTACTTAACACAAGAGTTAAACACATCACATATAACGGGGGCAAGCTCCTCGCAGAACTGTTTTAAGATCCACGGAGGGATCTTGTCCGGCCCAGCAGCTTTCCTCCCGTTCAACTGACGTAGCTTCATCTTGATCTGACCGATAGAGAAGACTGGAAGAGCGTTTTCTGACAGTTTGTGATCCACACACTGTGCTGTAGGGACATCACGATTTACCTATCTCCATACGGAAGCAAAGTGATCGCCAAGACTGTCACATTCATGCTGTAAAGTAGTGGGGTCATTGGTGCTGGCATCCACCTTTCCCCCCTCCATACCAATGAGTGTTTTGATACATTTGAACCATTGACCAGAATTGGAATACTTTAACCGGTTGAAGGTTTAACAATCAATAGAAATTTATTATTATGTAGATATATAGTTTATAGGCGTTTATTACATGTATTTAACAGATAGAAGTCCTCTGATTACTCTTCTACTTGAACATACTAAGTACTCTAATTCCAGAAGCCTACTTTAGCATACCCACTACAAATTTAATCACTTTATCATGCTGTTCCGTATTTCCTTTTATATTTGAAAAATATTAGCACTCCCTGTACATTTTCTCAACGTAGTTAATTTGATTGTTTTTGGTACATTGTGGTGTTTTTGCGTGTTTTTCTCACATTCAGAGAATCGATTGTACTATTCCGATGGTAACAGCATCTTCAGTTCAGATATGCTCGGCAACGATATTCGACTAGTAACAACGCTTCTTGGAGACGATGTTAGAGCTACAGCGATTGCTGTTGATGATACCTACGTCTTCTGGACGCAATCGTATCCCGGTAAAATCGAAAGGTGAGACATGATCTACTATGTTTTTGTCGTGGTAAAAGAAGATTAAATTTGACTTCAAAAGTAACAATAAAGTTTATCACGTATTGCATTCTTATCAATTTTTTTTCAATTCTTATCAATTACCAACCACGTTGTCACCAAAATGGCAGCCCAATGGCTAAAATGACATCGGGAAATTACATAAAATGTGTAAAACTTCATCTAAGCATTGTACAAGTTAATAAACCATTCTTCCATTTGTCATAATTAAAAAAAAAATGTTGTCATATTCACCAAAACTGCAGGTTATCCAAGTCCACATCGAATCAGACCGTTCTGATAGCAGAACTGCTTGAGCCAAATGACATATACCTGTCCACAGCATTGCCGCCTAACGTCACTAACGGTACATTAAGCAACAAAGGGTTTCGGTAGCATTGTGTGTTTTTATTAAATTAAGGTTCATTTTCTGGTTAACGAGAATTAAATGCATTGTTAGAATTTAACATGTCATTAGAAATTAAAACATTATTTGACTCCTTACCTTTTGGGCACCCCGGCGAGTTTTTATATTTAATTGTTGGATGGGTAATTAATCTTTAAAAATGGAAAATAAGTTTAAATCCCTGGTAGCATTTTTTCACAACACCGTACTTAAACAGTACTTGAACTGTTTATCTATCCTTACGTCAGCGTGTTCCTCATCAAATGGAGGTTGTCAGGAATTTTGCCTTGCGCATCCGGGAGGACGAACGTGCGCCTGTCGGGATTTTTGGGAACTGCAAGCAGATGGGGTGTCCTGTGAGTAACATGTGTTGGGTGACACCAGTATAAGTGCATTGGATGTAGCAATGCTTTGCACAAGTAATTATATAAATAGGCCATGTATGTAAATATTTTCAAACGAAATTGCAGGGGAAATTGGTTATTTTTTTAGAATTCTACACATGACAATATATTTGATAAAAGTTTAAACTTATGTGCCATGTATCCATGCATTTACCATGTGCAGTTACTTGATTTTTGTTTACTTTAGAGACCTTGTGTACAATTCTACTGACTCTAGTTTATTTGGTAATTGCAGGTCTTTAGTCTCTTTAAAGTCTAGCGTGCTTAGTTGAATAAAATAAAGGAAACGTCAACAATTAAAGCTTCAGTTTTCTTTACAACAAACATATTTGATTCAATTTAACTTAAGTCATTAACTGTTTACAGGTAGCGGTATTAGCTGTTCTCATGGAGAAGTCAGTTGTGAACACGGACTTGCCTGTATCCTGTCATGGAAACGTTGTGACAGGATCTCAGACTGCACGGACGGGAGTGATGAGGAGGGCTGTGGTAAGTCACTGTCATGAGGTCATGTGGTACAGGCATGTACTTACACTTCTTTTGCATCATTAGTACCAGGGGACATTTTTTCTCCAAAATTTAGCGCTCCTTAATGTGACATGTTTATTAATATGAATTATTTATTATATGTCATTTTACGATAGTGATCTCTGGAATAAAATAAAAATGTACTAAATGGTTTCTGCAGACGAATGACATTTTTTTTACAGATTTTAATGTTGCATTCATGACTTTATCATGAAAAATGCCAGTAGTGACCAGCCGGGGGACTCGATGAGAAAAACAGGCATAAAATGGCCACCACAGACCGAATAATCATATGTATGAAAAAAAAAGGAAATAGGATAATGTTAGGAAACAAGAAGTTTCCACAGATACCAGATAAAAGTCATTAACAGGTGGTCATTGATACAGTTCTGACTGTATATACAGTTTTGTACTAAAGATTTCAGTATTTTATATGAACCATTTATTACACATAGCCAAACATGGAAGTCCAAAGTTTAAAAATGCATTTGATTTAAACATCTTTTTTCCAGTTTCTGACGCTGTCCTCACAACAAACTAATAAGGAATCCGATATGTCCAAAACGTGTTTAGGGGTTTATTGGACAGGAACTGGGAAGGGGTTTTGTAATGTTATCAGACATCTCAAATGCTTTTTTCTTGTTTTTCTTATTTTCTCATGGGAAGAAAATTTTTCTTTGGAAGAGAATAATAAGAGAAAAATAAGAAAAAAATAAATTTTCTGTATACCTACGTTCTTGCACCAAGAACAATTTTCTCATTTTTCTTGAGTGGAGATAATTTTTTCTAAAATAGGCTTCGTTAAATCTTGATTTTTCTTTCGTGAAAAAATATTTCTAGAGGAGATTCTAACTTACAAGATTAGAATTCTTGTAATCTTGAAATTTCTTCAGTAAAGACAATATTTCTAGGGAAGATTCTAAGTTACAAGATTAAAATTCTTTTAATCTTAAAAATTCCCTCAGACTTAGTTAAATTTTCTTATTCAATCTCCATGGAAGATTTCTTTCTTACCTGACATAAAAGTGGTCAGATTTAAGTTTTTTTTCTTGTGTATGTCAAAAAATTTCTAGTTCATGTTACCGAGAATGATTGAAAAGGCCATTCTTGTTTTTCTTAGCAATGTTTAAGAAATATAAAATTTGGTTCTTGTCTTTCTTGGGAAACACTGATTGGAAAAGCAAGAAATTTAATTATCTAAATCTATTATTAGAATAAAGCGCTGCTTAGTGTTTCTTTCTTAAAATTTCTTTTTTTTCTTGACTAGAAAGCTTAAGAAAGATCATTCTTGTTTTTCATGGCAACATTTAAGAAAATACAAGAATTAATCTTTCTTGACAAATACTGATAAGAAAAAAACAAACAAGAAAGTCTGATATAAAATTAATCTTTGATTAGGCTGAAGATATGGCTAGTATTATATTCTTAAACATTCTTGATTTTCTTCCCTAGAAAGTTTAAGAAATGCCATTCTTGTTTTTCTTAGCAACATTTAAGAAAATACCAGAAAGTTTTAAGAAAGATGATTCTTATTTTGCCTGGTAATGTGCAAGATGATGTAAAAACTTTTTTCTAGTTTTTTCTTGTCATGTGACCTTTTCTGAACCCCTGATTGGTTGATTCAAATCCCAGAATGCAGTTAGGGGGTTTTGAATGTAAGTCAGATGTAGCAGCCGGGGCTGGTTACTTATTTTTGTCAGTTACTGGCTCATGTCAGATTTGAAGTCAAAATCAAATTAAAAAGGACCCTGTGTACATGTGAAGCAATGGTGATCGTGGTCAGCTTGCTGAAGAAACCAACTTTGCAACAGAAAAAGCATGAAACCAAACAGATTGAAGGTAAGTGCGCCCCCCTCCCCACCTATAAGATCTGTTGACATTGTTTTTAGACTTCATAGCCCAGATATTATTACAACGCCATTGGGGTTGATTTCAAAGTCAAATCATATATCTCTGGTGTCTTGTATAGTAAAGTTCATTACAGTGCTTTCTAATATAATTTTAAATTGTTAACTCCAAGTAATAAAAATAGTATTTTAGCATCCTCTTTTGACTTGTTGCCTTCAGTACACGCATGCAAACTAACACAGGTCTTTCTTGTTGTTTTCAGGTGTCCAAAGGGTGTGACTTTGCCAATTCTATAATGCGAAAACTTGCTGAATATGTTTCTGATCAGAATGTGATTCTGAAATTCTGTATTCTGAAATCATAATGGCTTGTTAGTTACATCCTATAATATTTTGAAAGCTACTTTTAAACTGTTTCCATTCCAAGAATGTTGATGGACTGATATTTTTAATTAGATACTTTGTACAAAAATCAATGTGAAAATAAAATCTCTATACTGTCCAGTGTCCAAATGCTTTTCAAAATAACATTTAGTTGCTATACATTATTGTCCGTTTTCTATTTAGGTAGCACTATATACATGGTATTTCTTTTCTTGTGGGCAGAATGGTTTTCTTGCTACAGGAACAGAGTCAGCTCTTATTTCAAGAAATCTTTTCTTGTGTACAGAATGGTTTTCTTGCTACAAGAACAGTTAGCTCTTCGTTCAAGAAATCACTTCTTGTGGGCAGAATGGTTTTCTTGCTACAAGCACGGATAGCTCTTAGTTCAAGAAATATTTTCTTCTGTACAGAATGGTTTTCTTGCCACAAGAACAGTTAGATGTTAGTTCAAGAAGTCTTTTCTTGTGGGGAGAATGGTTTTCTTACTACAAGAACAGTTAGATCTTAGTTCAAGAAATCTTTCCTTGCAAGGAGAATGGTTTTCTTGCCACAAGAAGAGTTAGATAATAGTTCAAGAAATCTTTTCTTGTGTACAGAATGATTTTCTTGCAATAAGAAGAGTTAGATCTTAGTTCAAAAAATCTCTTCTTGTGGGCAGAATGGTTTTCTTGCTACAAGAACAGTTCGCTCTTAGTTTAAGAAATCTTTTCTTGTGGGGAGAATATTTTTCTTGCTACAAGAAGAGTTAGATCTTAGTTCAAGAAATCTTTTCTTGTGTACAGAATGGTTTTCTAGAAAACTTAAAAATTCTTACTGCAAGAATAATAGTCTAAGGATATTTAGTTCAAGATACATAAGAAAAGAAATCTTACCTTAAGAAAAATATGCTAAAATGCAGTTTCTTGAAATTCTTGTCTCATGGACAAATTTTTTTCTTGGGTGAAGAATAATTTTCTCAGTGGAAGAAAATTTTTCTTCTCTGAAGAAAAACAAGATTGGCATTTTTGGTAGTGTACATGCTCCTTTTTTTATCAATTTGTAGTGTGCCTACCAATACCCCGGAATTCTTACCCCGACCGGAATTTGGAACTCCGCAGTAGACTTGCAATGCTACCGAACCACCTAGGTCAGACGACGTTTGAGGAGATACGGAATTCCTCTGACGTCACGCGGCTCTACAGTTTGACCAGCATCCCAGGGAAGAACTACCACCCTGAGTTAGAAGAATTCCTATTGACGATCATTTTCCCACCATGCAACGTCACCGACGGGAACGAGACTGAGTGCTTAAAAAAAGCCAACACGACTGCTTGCAAGTAAGTAAAGAACACAAATATAATTGCAATGTTGCCAATGACTTAGTTACTCTTTTGGAAGGGGTTATGTCTATAGTAACCATATCATTTGATGCTTCTTGATTATATCTAGATTTAAACCTGACCTAACCCTTCTGAAATAAGGAACTTGAGCCAATGCACATTTTGAAAAATCCGTCTAAAGGCGTTCAGTCCATTTAATCTATTCATGGTTTTCAGTGGAACACAACTGGTACCATGCCGCTCGTGGTGTGAGGAAGTGCTCAACATGGCTGATGACTGGATAAAGGACCTGCTGCCGCGATGTGAATTCCTTCCATCATCTGATCACGATTGCTGGAATCCCGATTCAGAAACAAAGTTAGACGAAGGTGAAAAGAAATGCTTTTGTTATTATCCTGGATGCCAATCAGATTCTACTCTATCCATTTTCCTCACTAGTAATTTTTCTGACGTAGAAAAAACTCTTGGTGTTATTTTAGTTATTACCTCCATGACATGTCATGGAGGTTCTATTTATCTTCGCCATTAATATTATATTTTCAGAGGCGTTTGTGTGTGTGTTTGTGTTTGTGTGTGTGTTTGTGTGTGTGTGTGCGTGTGTGTGTGTGTGTTTGTGTGTGTGTGGCTACAAAAACGATAGCTTGAGAAGTGTTAAACGGATTTTCTTCATATTCTGTAGACCATTGAGTCTTGTTGAGACCTTAAATTGTTTGATTTTGGCCCCTCTAGCGGCTTGTTATGGTACTGCAGCTGAACTTCTGGTTTTGATATGCCATGATGTAGACATGCTAGTGTCACTAAATTTGGATGATAAGTAGATCTTTTCATGGGGAAGAAGTAACGTAAAATGGATCTCTAGTGGTTTGCTCTAAAACTGGATTGGAGTTTGTTTAGAATATATGAAGGTAGCATAAGCGATGCTTGAAACAATGATGCAAATATTGAATAAATGTAATCTGTATAGTTTATTTGTTTAAATTGGAAATTCCATTAGTAAGCTACATTGCATAAATGTTGTGACATGTGTAATTGAGAACGAGAGCAACGCATTATCAGATATTGATTATGTAAATAAAGAATTATTTTGTATAATTGATAAGAAACTGTTAAGCGACGGTCACAACTCGCCGTGCGTGCTTTTTGTCCGTAAGTTTTTGTCGTGGCTACGTCTGCTACGTTTCTTCTGCAAACGTAGGGTGGCCGACCGAGGGAGTACGTCACTCGCACGGTTGCGCAAGGTGTACTTACGTGGTCTGCACGCCACGTCTGGCCGTGAGCAGTTGCGTGCATCGTACGTTGCGCAAGTGGTAAGTAAGTTGTACGTGCTTACAACGTACGATCTCTGTGCGATTGCCACGTTGCCGCGTACAGGCCGTACCTACACGTGCGGCGTACGCACGGTTTCCTTACTCACTCGCACGTTGTAAGTGCACCTCCTGTTAACTTCATCATCACTAGCCGCCCTGGTGTCTTCCGCGGCCCGTTTCTTCGGGTCTTGTCTGGTAGTCTTCTTCTGAGCCTTCCTGGGCATTTTGGAGACGAGTTGGCAGTCGCCCGTCAAGTCGTCTTTATGTACTGTAAAAATCAGGCGCGTTGCACGCGCGTTGCACGTGCGGAGCACCTGGTATGGTGCACGTGTGTTCTGCGTGGTCATTGAGCAGGTCAACTGGGAAGTGAGGAGTAAGCACGGATGACGCAAGCACCGTGCGTGGCACGCACGTGCTTCGTGCGCTGTCCGTACAGCAATTGCATGTGAGAATAGTGAAGTTAGACTCACGGAGTCCGTACGTTGCACGCTCATAGGCTGTACGGGGCACGCGCGTCGCACGTACTCGCACGCACGGGTGGTAAATCCGCAGACCGCACGTAGAAAAAGTATTACATGCTCTTAAAGTTCTACGGCGTGTCTGCGTGCTCCCAAATCCGTAGGATTCCGTACGGAGGTGGTACTCACCACGCACGGATGCCGTACGATTGCCCACGTTTTTGCACGTAGACAGCACGCAGAAGCACGTACGGCGAGTTGTGACCGTCGCTTAAATGGCATATTGGTAACTACCTGAAATTTCATACTTAAAGTATGTGAAAGTTGTGTGAGCCTGGTTATTATTAAACATAACTTATTCAAATAAGGCTCTCGTTTGCATGATGTATCACCAAATGCTAGAATTACATGCTTTGTTAAGATACGGCTGTCTTTTGGTCAAGATTTGATGGACTGGTATAATTCATGCAAATAAGGATCCTATTGGCCAAAACTGGGTGAAAAATCTATAATTTGTTAGTTATAAAGTTTAACATCGTTTGTCGAAGCAATGAGGTGGTTGAAGACTAGTTTCAGTTACGTTTGTCGGTCATAACAATGCATAGAATTCAGCACTAAACATTTTATGCAGGTATGGAATTGCCCAAACTAAACCTTAAATCTTATATCCAAAATGTAGGTTTGTTATCGACACAGAATGATATCTCAATACTAAAAGATATAATGCTGTACATGTATTCTATTATTTGGTGATATTGGTTTGTTTTCCTCAGTTTGCTACCATGGCATTGGCATAAACTACCGCGGTACATGGAGTACAACTACATCCGGGACAGAGTGTGTTGCATGGTCAGCTGCACAAGCTGGCTACTACAAGACAGAGTTCCCCTGGGCAAACCTGGATAACAACTACTGCCGCAACCCTACCGGTCTGGATCGGCCATTTTGTGTAATTGAAGACGGTAGCCAGGAGGAGTGTAATGTCATTCCCTGTGGTAAGTTGCCGTTTGAGGAACTGTTAAAATACTCACCATAACCAATTTTATTTACTTATATATTGATCTTAAAAACGGTTGGGTGGTACCTTCAGTTTAGGACAACTGATTTCCAAAGTAGCCCAACATAAGACAGAACAAGTTACAAAGGACATACAGGTAGACAATCAATTACTTAAACATAGAGATAATACATAATATGAACAAAGGGTACAAGTAGTCGATAATTGTCGAAACATGGCCTGTCAACCAAAATAAATAGTCAAAATCATTAGGCATAATCATAGTCCGTGTCATTCCAGTCGAAAGATAAGGTCAGTCCATGAAGGTCAGGGGTCATGTGCTTAGTGCTCTCTTGAAAGCATTTAATGTGGTTGCTTGTTTGGTTTCGTCATTTAACAAGTTGTAAGCTGCTGTTGATCTGTACTGAAATGTTCTCTGTCCCGATCTGTTTGTGTATTTGGGTTTGCGCAGTAGATTCGCTTGTCTTTGTTTTATACTGGCGAGTTTGGTGATTGTAGTTGTTGAAGCATTGCAGCAGGTAATCAGGTGCAAGTCCATGTAAGCACTTATAGACCATGGTACAGATATGCTGACCTCTCCTTTCCTGTAGTAGAATATACCCGTTATATTATACCATTCTAGATGCTGACGTCTGCTTGGACAGAGGCCCGCCAAACTACGGCAAGAGAAGTCCCAGCAAGAGGTTTTACTACGTAGGAGAAAGAGTCAGGTACACGTGCAACGAAGGCTACAAACTTTCGACCAATGATACCAGCGAAGCAAGGTGCAACAGAGGAGGCATTTGGGAAACAGACAAACCCAATTGTTTAGGTAATCATTAGATTATTTCTAACAGTTGTAACCTGTTAATTATTTTTTTGGCCAACATATCGATTTTCAAGGCATTAAAAATTCCAAGCCGAAATGTCAAATCAACGTGCCACGATGCTTCATATGTTTTTATTCGTAATCAAGGGTTTCTTTCAATATGTTTTTTTACTAATGTATGCAGCATACAATTCAGTAATTACGGATATAAGTTTTGACATCAAATAAAACCCTATCCTTCTGTAGTTAACTATAGGCGGAGGCTACAACAGGAGCTATTAGGGGCTTACACTAAAAGTCTGTCACCTGAGAACGTCATTATCACCTTCAGCGGATCTGTGGAACTGATAGTCGATTTGGTATGTAATTTTATCTGCTAAAAACTCATATTTTGCTTGGTTACCAAGTATGGAATTATTTTTAATAAATATATGCGTAATCTATTCTGTTATTTTTTAAGGATGAAAAGAAGGAGCAGCTTGTTGCATCTGTCATCATCGATTTCGTAAGTTTGCGCTATTTCAAACCTTCATCTTACGAAACCACGTATTGATACACTACTTTTACACCATTTTTATCTCGAGTTGTTAACCAATCTTTTATAGTAATTAATTCCTTTTGTGCACCCTAAAATGTTTTTAGGCATGGAAAGACAGCCGACTGAGATGGGATCTCGGAGAATATGATAACGTTCTGACACTCAGCGTTCCGGGGGACCTGATTTGGACTCCGTCATTTATTCTAAAGAGAAAGTATGGTATCACTTCTATTAACCACTTTGATTAATACGTCAGATTTCTTATAGGAGTATATCAACTAAGTATTAATGACCCCCTGATCCTCAGTGTATATAGTGTGATAAAGACTTGTCAGTTTCTATAACCTCCGAATAAAACCACCGAGAGAGCGTCGCGATCAAGGTGGCTTCATGAGGTGGTTGTTATAGCAACTGACAAGGCTTTATTACACAATATACACCGTGGATCAGGGGGTCATTATCGTTATTACCATATAACCTATCCAAATTTACACCGTAAAGAGTGACACATTCCAGTATACCACATGCAACATTAAATTATCTAACAAACCGGTACAGTCACTCCTCTATCTTTCTGTCCGTTAGCCACGTTTTCTTTGCATCTTTACCAGATTCCAATGATCCACATATTGCGTATAAATTGGCCTGTTTGAGGACAAATTCTGGCACCGCGTTTTCCACTGTATGTCCCTGATTGCGATCGTTTTACCTGTCCCTCTGGTTACCGGTTCAAATGAGTTCACCAGAACATCGGACCAGAGCTAATTTGAGCCAGTTAGAATAGAGCCATTAGTCCATGTCAAGTCATCTGAGGTCATTTGAATGTTTCAAGAAGGAGATCTACTAATGGTGGTGATGGTGCGAAATGTGTTTTCTTACCTTCCGCCCAAAAACTCGCATGTGTTGACATGGCCTTTATTTTGTTATCCATAAAAGAATTGGTTGATGGCAAGGCTGTAAACATTTCTGTGCAGAAAGCAAACGTACTACAAATGTTTCCAAAAAGAGTTCACACCCTTGTATAGTGGTCAATTGTTCATTATTTTTCAACAAAGAAACACTTGTGAAATAAAACACACGCTATCTGTGACATCACGGCGTCATTAAAAACATGAAACGGGGGCTTCTGATTGGCCAACGCCATATGATTATAATTGATTTTGATACGTTTATGGACGTTAAACCAAATCAACAGACGATAATTATAAATTTTAACATTGAACCAACAATGTACAATTTGTATACTAGCACAAGAATTCACCAATCCAAGACAAATAACAACATTTTCTTACTTCGCAGTGCGGATCCTATCCACAAAGGTCTCCAAAACGAGGTACCGGTCCGAGTGAGCAGCAGTGGCCTGGTAGAATGGACTGTACAAACCCTGACCACCACCGTGTGTGATGCTGACCCCTTCTTCTTTCCTGCAGACACCATGGAATGCCATGTGTGTTTTTCTGCAACCACGGCGATAGAGCAAAGCATAGGTAAGGAATTGAATTGAATTAAAAAAACACTAAGGAAGGCATTTGCGAGCAAAAAAAACACATTTCACTTTATCCACCATCAGTGTGAAAAGGTGAAACATTCCAAAAAATGACTAGAGCCATAAATTGAAGTCTTTCACATACCCCTCAATCCATCATGGACCACTCCGAAACATTTTCATTTGTAATTAAACTTTTTTAATTAAGATAATAATGAATGTCTACATCAAACAATTAAAACATTTGTTAATTTGCTAACTCTATCTAACCGCAAAATGACAAGATCATTCTACAAAATAGCAAAAGAAGAATGTCAAGAAAAACAATTCATTTTAAGAAAAACAATTTATTTTGCCCACATGCCTATGGCATAGAGTTTAATAGAACAACACAATCATGTATCTATACGTATTGTATTAAGTTAAATGTAATATACGATGATCTAATCTATACGTGGGGTATTATGTAAATATAATAATATTGAATTCGTGTTTATGTCATTATTTTGAATTTCAAAGTTGCATAAAGACCGTGTTGTGAAAGCAAATAACCAAAACTACAAGTTGTTTGTGGAGAAAATAATACAGAAGGAGACCAGATTTTGCAACTAGAGGATGATGCTTACAATGAAATTCAAGCTGCACTTTTCAACAATAACTACGTTATAGAAATATTTGGACATTTTTGGAAACAAAATGATAGTTTGCTTGTTGAAAACATATTTTGAACATAGAATGCCAAGGAGGAAGGTCTGCATCAGACAAAGGGGGCATCCCGTGCAACTCTTACTCTACTGCAACAATGGAGGGCGAATGGTACCGAAAGGATAAGATCTTTGCAAAAGACAACAGGGAAGCGTGCCTTACTATTCATCTGTCGAGGATCCCGCTGTTCCACATCGCCACTACTGTTGGACCCTGCATCATCCTGGTGGCACTGATGGTCATCACATTCATCATGCCTTTGGACAGGGGCGACCGGATCTCGTATGGAGTGACCATTCTACTCTCCATGGTCGTGTCCCTCGTATTTGTGACAGACGTACTTCCTGTCAAGGGGGCATTGCCCTTTTTCGGTCAGTAAAATTCAATTAGGTCTAATGACATTGCTTTCAAAATCATTTGTTTAGATGACTGTAAGAAAAAGCCTCAGCATCATGGTAACTGTTTACCATCTATAATGTTACAGCTACGCTGATCATCATCTGCATGGGCCTGATGGGATTGTTCCTGTTCTTTACCCTGGTCATCATCGTCATCCATGACCGGGAGGGGAGCCTGTCTCCGGCGGCGAAGATTATTTTTCTTCGCTACATTTCAAAGTACCTATTATTCGATTTTGGTTTTAAAGACATCCGATGCAATATCAGGGTGGTAAAATGTTTAAAGAAATTTGTCTGATTTTGCCATCAACCGCAATTTCTTTGCATATTTTCTGCATCATTTTATACTTAGATTTTTTTGCAAGAATTAAGTCCTGGCAACGATACTAAGCAAGGAACTTTTTTCCTTCTCCGATGTGGCATTTTCAACTAAGTAAACACTGACCTAGAATAAAAGTCCATCTGTGTTGGTACAAGTCATTATAAAATGAGGACTAAGCTTTAACTTCCAACACTAACAAAGTTTTGGGACTTGAACAAATTTTCGGTTGACTCCATTGACCTTGTTCCCGGGATGGGAAACGTGACGTCAGAGACACGTGACCGTAGTAGCGGGCCATACGTGCCAGATAACTTGTTACACCCCCAGTCTCTGTTCAGGGTAGGCCTGTTTGCTCTTAAGCAGACCGCCTCCTTCACTCCTCTTGCAAAGAAGTCCGAGTCAGAATAGAGGATTCTAACCCCTTCTAAAGATACAGCGTGTCCCGGAGATTCAATGTGAATGTGTCGAGAGATCCCTGAGGTTACATAATCGGGCGTCGGTGTTCCAGGAATCTCGTTTTTCATGCACGTTCTGTCTCACCTATGTATGTCTCACATAGGTGGAACAGTACATGCAGTCTCCAACTTTCAACCACAAGAATACAAAGTTGATATTTGAATTTGCGGCAGTACATAGCGATTTTACGACAAGCCAGCACATGCTGGCCTTTTGCGGCATTTATAAGTCGGGACTGAACTTAGTTCCATAAAGCGTCGCGGCCTGGGTGCCATCCTTCGTAGTTACCGCAGGCTCCCCGCCTAACTACCACAGACTCATATACAAAGGATGGCACCCATGCCAGATCCTCGGAGGAAGCATTTTTAGAACAGGCGAAAATCAATGCGCGCGCGGATGTAATCGTAAATTTCATCAGTGTTGCGTAACAAAAAAATACCATATGCTATGTAAATGAGCTGATTCAAGTTATTGCTTTAAAAGAAAGACCATGAAATTGACACTGGAGATTACTGAATTGCCGCACCGAATTGGATTGGATGCCGTCAATGATATCTGTGTATGATATGACATTATCGGTATCTAAAACATCGGTTCACCTTAAATTTTGTAATGAATTCATTAATAGTTTAACCCTTGTCCTGTTGGACTTTTTTATACAATATTTTCAAGTAATTTGAGGTATGATTCAAATCACAGATCCTTTTTTCCTTGTGGCGGTGTAGTAACTTCCGCATTCGTTGCGTTTCGCTGCAGTGTAATGCATGAGGAACACCCCAAAAGTCGTACATACACATGGCACTATATAGATGGTACTGTATGTGCAACCCATGTAAATATATGGGTCCTCAGGACTATTAAATTTAATTTTTTCCGGCATTACGATTCATTTTCCCCTCTCTGTTGCCTTTTTAATACATTTTATCTTAAAACGTTATATGATTATTTTCTTTAGGATTTTTAAAAATAGAAACCAGGACTTAAATCAGATGACCTGTATCTTGTTATTGTTTGTCTGAACCGAACATTTTTACTGTGTCACTAATTTAGATATTTCATAACAAAACGGAGGCTCATATGAAAGATCTACTATGTAGGTATTATTATGAATAACAGTGAGATGCATTGTCATTTTTTAAACAGTTTCGTCCTTTTTTTCGTTTTGTAGGATGCTGCTGTTGGGTGATCTGACAGCAAAAAGCCAAGCGAACGATGAAGAGCCTGGCGTTACCCACCATGCCACCATAGAGGTGACCAACTGCGCCTATGAAGCCGATAACGTGTCTGTGGCTGACGAAGATGTCACATATTTCGGTGATGGCAACGGGAGGAACGAGCAGCCATCATCGCCTCCAGGGGACGCTACCGGCCGCGGATCAGCTGGCATTGCCGAGCTAAACGTCAGCGTTCAAGAGTTGACAAGGGTGCTTGACAGCAGGATTGGAGAGCTGACAAGGGAGGTAAAGACAGAGGTTGGAGAGCTTACCAAGGCCGTAAAGAACGAAGAGGAAGTGTCTGACTACACGCTGCTGGCTAAGGTCCTGGACAGGCTGTGTCTTGTCATGTACATCATCAGCATCGCGGCAGCCGTCCCTATGACCATGTACTTGGGCAGGTAAAGATGTGGTATCAACCTCGATCCACAGACCGTTTGTCATGTTTATAAAAACAAGGCTTAAAAAGTTTTATCTGACTTGTTGAACAAGCATTTGGAGCATTTTAAACAATGATATAGAACATTCTTATTGGATACCTGACACCTTTATTTGCGTTATTTATTACATTTAGCACTTGCCTTAATTTACTCAATTTGTATATAGTTCAGCTACATTGAAGAGAAGATCTTTTATTTAGTAGATACCCGTGATCTAATTCCGTGGACAATAAGGAGGCTTATCAATATAATTCCAAGGTTATTAAATTAGATTGGGAGATACACAGTCCTATTCCAGTATATATTGTTACCAACAAACTTTTCACATGTTATTACAGTAAATAATATTCTATCCAGATAGTATTGTATATAGCTCTTTGCCTAAATCGTTAAGTTGGGGATCAGGTATTGTTATCCGCGTAATCAAGAACGTATACGCAAAAATGCTTCGAGCCTAATTCCTTATTATCTGCTAAATATTTGCTAGGGTAAAATTTATTCTTAAATTCAAGTCAATGGAGGCCTCAGTTGTTATAGGAGGTAGATGATTGTAAACAGATCGTTGGCATGTCAACATGTTATACTTGATCGTGTGTATACTTTACGTGTATGAAAACATTGATGTGGTAGATATAATAAAGTTGTGTGAAGTAATAGCATAAAGTAGAGAATCTAAATGGTTTCCATGGAAACAAATCATTCCTTTTACTGTCTGTTTAAGTAGAGCTTTGTGCATGTTGTTTACAACATTTAGATTAATACAGACTTGCAACAATAATTTGTATTTATTGTAATGGGCCACATGCAAAACTCAAAATCAAACTTTATGATGAACATTGTGGTATATGCATTCTGCTGACTTGTAATATTAAAGTGATTGTCTTAAAAGATGAATCAAACATGAAATTTTAAACGCATTAGTTGTTTTTAAATTGCATATCGGCACATGCAAAATTAAGTGCAGCTTTTGCCGTTTTAGTAATTCGTCATTTCTGTAATCTTATATATTGGCGTTCCATACAGAATTTGGTTGTGGAATGTGTTTTTTATCATGTTACTAATTGTATAAGATTTCCGTCTAAACTGAGACAGGCTGCTTTAGGACTATACAGATATTACAAGTCGCTTTTCATCTCATTTGTGTAGTGCACTTGATAATAACGTTTGTGATACGTCAACTTAACTTTATCATCGCATCCGTAATAGGAAAATCTTTTCTCTGACGCTCAGTAGCTGAAGTGATCAGCTAAAGTTAACTTGTAACTGCTTGGATGTACAGCAGGCTTGGATATATTAGGTACTTCTTGATATTCTGCTTACGATCTGCTAGACTGCATAGAATGACAAGATGGCTTTCTGTAATCTCATATTATAAGTTTCTCTTTTAGTACTTTCTATTACATTTAACGTTTGTCCCTTTAAGAAAATGATCAAACTCTACTTTTTAATATGTGGACTTAATTGCTAATATTTTAGAACCTTATCCTGTATAGATATTTTTTTCTTTTTAGGTAAAAAAGGCACCATGATTATTCAGGCAAAACACAGGGTTAATGTGACATAGTTTACTTATCAATTAATATAAGCCTTAAAATTATATTAATGGTTTAATATAATTATTTCTGTGTTAGGTATTGTATTCGACTCTGCAATAGTACGTACGTGGTACCACTGTAGCGGAGGTCTTTAGGCAATAGCTGACTCTGCATACTGGATATTAATACTGATGACATACATGTACATAATCTCATTCATTTACCTACCTAAATTGAAACCAAAACAAAAATTAAATGGCTGCAATAAAGTGTGTTTATATTGGTGACAAATTTGATTTTAACCAGCCCGATGTTGTTAAAACATCAAAGTACTCAAACTTGATTGTAACTGAGGAATTATGACATAATTGTAAGCAGCTGCGCGATGGGTCGGAGTAGTATAAACAAGGATTGTGTGAATATAAGTCATTGGCATTTTTTATATTTAATTTAAATTCCATGTGACAAAGAATAAATGTGCTTAGCAAATCATATAAATATTGTAGTCAATTAAATTGTTGTTGGATAATTGGCCTTGCAAAACCCTTATTAATGCATGGTCCTTTATGTATCGAAAAAAACTTATGAAGGAGACCCTCTACATATAGACATTTAGGAAATTCTGTCGACAAGTAAACTGTTGTCATCTAATCACTGTGGAAATGTGTAGATTATTAAGACCTATCACACCTTGTTATGAGACATGGAAACATCTGGAGTACTTTGTTTACTGAATAAAATGTGGTCATGGTGCAAAACGTCTGTTTTGAGCGTGTTTTTGTCATGTTTTTGCCATTTAAACTGGGGGGGGGTAGGCTCGCGCCAACTTATATTTCAGATGTCACATGAACAGCTTATGCTAGAACCGTCATATTTGGTCAATTTTCCTAAAATATATTTGGACACGAATTAATTTTAATCAAATAAGTTGTTGTTTTTTTAAATCTTGTTGCCAACTGGTTTCTGACAGGCAGTTTTTCGAGAATTTAGTAATTTTGGTGGAAACAATTTACACCTGGGTTATTTAACACACATTAGATACCAATGGACTGGCAATTTTAAATACATGGTTGAGTCAAACACTATATAGTCAACTAGCAATAATAATCTAATCACTTCGTTTTCTAATTTTGAAGTCAAATAAAATTAATTTTCCCTTATTCTGGATTCTGTTTACTAATCTGTGGCAGTGTAAACACTAAAACAGCAAAAACAAGCATGTGTTGCAGAAACAAGCTTGACCGAACTTTGGGCTGTTCTCTCTCTGACACTCGGTGCAAACAGGGCTGCATCACATCTTGAAAGTTCATCTGTGTTGGTACAGGTCACTATGCAGCAAGTTTAAACTGTGATTTCCAACACAAGAAATTGCACTCACCCAAATTTTTGACTGTACAACTCCAGTCTTTGTCAAGGAATGAGCAATCCACCGCAGTGCATCATAGGTTGCAGAAAGTTTGTGGCGCCCCTCGTTTCTGTTGAGGGATGGTTGTAATGCCCTGGTGCCGGGGGCGCGACAGACTTCCTGCAACCTATGATCGACTGCTCACGGAGTCACGTGTGTTATCTGCGTGACGTCACGGAAGCGGTGGATTGTTCATTCCTTGACAAAGACTGGAGTTGACAAAGACTGGAGTTGTACAGTCGAAAATTTGGATGAGTCCAATTTCTCGTGTTGTAAATTACAGTTTAAACTTGCTGCATAAGGGCTGAATCCGCCAGCAGCACGGCGCAGGCGAGCCGTCTTGGACGGGATGGAGACCAGGGTTCGCCGGGAGAGCAGCAGGGACAAGCGGGCCGACATCACCCAAGAAGAACCGCTCCAGGTGCAGTTCGAAGAAGAAGCAGGAACAGCACTGCAGTTGATAACATCTTCAGATGAATTACAAGAAGTAGTCCGGCTTTGGTTTGTAGGAATCTGGAATACCTCTGATTTCTTGTGGTACTGCTTCAAAGATGGTGAAGTCTTTCTGCAAGTGTTCGTCCAGTCCAAGTATGGCCGCTACATTTCCACACCTGCAAACAGCAAACAACATCATCGTCCACTTTTCTTTAAATTAAATATAGACATTAAGCTGAAAGCTATACCTCTCATTGCCATTGGCTGCAGGACTCGAAATTAAGATAGACCAATGGCCACTAACCACTGAAGTTTAGGCTTCAACAACTAAAAAGACACGTCGATCAAGGTTAGGCATCCAGGTAATACGATACGCCAAAAAGCAGTTATTAGTTTGTGCTTATAAACATGCATTTCCCCTCTGGTCTCTCAGTCACTGACAAAAGCTAGTGGATACTAGCTGAAACGTCTGACGTTTTCAAAATCATATCGAGTTGCTTGAGTAACTGCTTTTTGGCGTAACTAAAAAGAAATTTTTTGGACATTTTAGGACGATAGAAAAATAACATCAGAATGTCAGCCCTTCTTTTGTTTTTCAGACACACGTGTTGGCTTTAACCCTACCTAGACGGGGATTTTTATGTCGTTATGACGTAATATGAAAACAGCAACGGCAAAAATACACTTTCGTGCATCAACACGGGCATGCCTGCAGACGGCGTATAAAATTGCCTGCCGATTACACAAAGAGAACCCCGTGTTCTAGCTGCGAACACGAACTCCTCACAACACTCCGTCCGGAGGTCTTGACCTCCTTCACGGAGTAATAAACTCAATTTCGAGGCCTGTGACTGTCGAAAAAAGATACCGATGAAAATGCCTAAAATACGTCAAAAAGTAAGATTAAGCGTAAACATCTGCTTAGCTTGTGACAAAATTACATTCTTAAATTTTAGTCCCAAAAGGAAAAAATCAGACGGTACATGGGACCGTCAGGGGGGACATCTTGTTTTCTATCTATTGCACGAATCTGTGGGACAAATAGGAGGAGAGTTAAAAATAACACTTCTTCAGTTACTGTTTATCACACAATAACACGTCAAGAGTTCCTTGTTCTCATCATTATTATTCTAAACTTAAACACATCTTGTTTAAAAACTCATTAGACTTGAGTGGTTCAATAGATTTGTTATCCAGAGTTTGTTGCATATATATCCTCCATTGTACCATATGACTGTAGCTTTCTGTCCTGCTTCTCTTTATTTTTTTAAAATTTAAATTAGCGCTCTGACTTGTATGGGGATTCCTCTCAAATGGATCAGAGAAAGACAGCTGGAATTATCCGTGTTGAGAGCGGCATTACCGACCTGGTCTAGAGTATTAATGGATGGAGACAGGCCTCCGTGTACACAGAAAATCTGCAACAATAAAATAACAACTATGAAATAAAAACTAAGCTTTAACTTCCAACACTAACTAAAAAGGATTGGGAATTACCCAAAATTCTCGGTTGACTCCATCCACCTTGTTCACGGAATGGACCCATCTACTCTTGGACGTGACGTCAGAGACACGTGACCATAGTAGCGGGTCATCAGTGCCAGATAACTTGTGAAAATTTAGGGTAAGTCCCAGTACTTTGTAGTTAGCGTTGGAAGTTGAAGATTAGTCTTTAATTCTTTTTATTGCATAACTTATACCAACACAGATAAACTGTCATGCTAAAATAAAAATTGTTAGTCCAAATTTGTAGCTTTTCGGTCCGAACTCAAAACCTTTAGCCTACTAAGGTTGCTGTTAAGCACCAAAATTGTGTTGGTTATTAGGGTACACTAAAAGAGATTTATTCCCAACACATCAACAAAATCCATGCTTGGTTCACTGACATCCTGTATCTGTATAGCCGGTATAACCGCCCTTCGGCGTAACACACCAGCTTCTGTATCTGTATAGCCGGTATAATCGCCCTTCGGCGTAACACACAAGCTTCTGTTTCGGTATAGCCGGTATAATCGCCCTTCGGCGTAACACACAAGCTTCTGTTTCGGTATAGCCGGTATAATCGCCCTTCGGCGTAACACACCAGCTTCTGTTTCGGTATAGCCGGTATAATCGCCCTTCGGCGTAACACACCAGCTTCTGTTTCGGTATAGCCGGTATAACCGCCCTTCGGCGTAACACACCAGCTTCTGTATCTGTATAACCGGTTTAACCGCCCTTCGGCGTAACACACCAGCTTCTGTATCGGCATAGCGGGTATAACCGCCCTTCGGCGTAACACACCAGCTTCTGTATCGGTATAGCGGGTATAACCGCCCTTCGGCGTAACACACCAGCTTCGCAGGCACGCGGCGCGGCGGCAGCTAGCTATATCACATCGAACGGCTTGTTACACTCAATCTTTGCACATTTGATTGCAAGAGTTCTTTAAAGCTTTCTAGTGATGGTGCCCCAAATGTGCTTGGTGGCAACTTGTTTCAGTCTACGATAGTTCTGGGGAAATACAAGTTTTTGAATACCTCAATTCTTGGTTGATAACTGATATTTGAAGACATGACTGTTTCTTGTTCTTTTCTGGGCTGGTATCAGGTATTTAGTGGTTGGTACGTCCACCAGTTTATTAGTCATTTTGTACATCAGTGCTTCTAACTGTGATTTTCTGACCTTTCCGTCGATAATGGCTGACAGGCTGAGGTAGTCGAAGACCTCGGTGCAGTATTTCCAGACCGTGATGGACCCGTACTTCCTCAGACACTCGTCGTAAAACTCGTACACCTGCGTGATCTGTCGACTCTCGTGGTTACCTCTGATCAGCGTAATACGGTCTGGATAACGAACCTAGAGGCAAATAACAGTATGAACAGTAAAATAATATTTTAGCCTGTTTAAATGCAATTAAGTTAATTGCTCATACTCCCATGGGACTGTCTCCACAATTGCAAGGATCTCGTCTACAGTTACATATGACAGTGACCGTAGTTTTTTTGTCCTGTATTTCTCTACTTTCAACTGGATCATCAAATGGATCATCAAATGGATCAGAGAAAGACATAACCACTGTCTTCGTAATACTTAAGCTACTGATATCCACTTGGTATTCGAACAGATTTTTGTCTTAAGTAATATTTCCAATCTTAAATGTACCAGCATTACTTCAAAAGTATGCTGGTACATTACATTAAAGAGATGGCCTACAAGACCTACATACGCCCCAAAACTAAAGTATGCGGCCACAGTATGGGACCCTCATGTCCAACAAGACATTCACAGAATTGAGACGGTTCAACGGAGGGCAGCTCATTTTGTGTTGAGGCGGAATAGGCACACCTCAAGCCCCACAGAGATGCTGGAGGACCTCAACTGGCCCAGTCTCCAAGCACGTCGGGAGACTGCACGGCTCGCCATGCTGTACAAAATTCAGCACAACAAGGTTTGTACAGATGGGCTCAGGGGCAAAATCCACCATGCCCCACGACGTGAGAGACGGGGGCATGACCAACAAATTGCACAACTCTGGGGCAGGACCCAGTATCGAGCAGTGTCTTTCCTGCTACGGATAGTAGAAGACTGGATCTCCTAAATACCCCAAACAACAGTGGAAGCCACAAATACTGAAACATTTGTGGCGAGATTCTTCTGAATTCTTGACTGGTGACCACTCCCCTAAGTGACAGAATGATCGACATGACGATAGCGGTCACTCAGAGGAAGAAGAAGAAGACTGTTATTAATGGAGAATAGATAGCAAAATGGCTGCTTCAGAGTGCTAAAGGTTCAGCTAAAATAAAGGACAAAAAAGGAGACGTTACCTTAAGAGCAAGCAGCAACAGGAATGTCTCCACACCGTAATACCCTCTGTCTACAAAATTCCCCATAAACAGGTAGTTAGTCCCTGGCACGTCCCCCCCAACCTGTGAGAAAAATAGGAAATATACAATTTAAGATGGGAACTTGACTAATTTTCTCTAGACCTGTGCATATTACAATTATTTCAATGGTACAAAATACTCTGTGTCTTTACTTTGTTGTAGGGATGTCTTTTATAGTTAGGCCATGTTGAATGGATAATATGAATGACAATTATGATATGATAATATGAACCCCAAAACTAACGCGAGCGTGCGAATAGAAAAAAAGATGTGCAAAAAAAGTTTCCTTCAATAAACATTATAAAATCTACGTGGTCATAAAGGTTGAACAAATAACTAACTCACAGAGTATCGTATAACGAAAGAAAACGAAAAAAAGACTCATTTTCATTTCTTCACATTTTCTTGAATTGATTTTGACATTCAATGACATTGGTATCCTGTTTTCCAAAATTGTGCTTTGCATCATGGGGCATATATTCGCTCCTTTTGTACGATTTACAGTATTTTCGATAAACTTTTTTTTTTGGGGGGGGGGGATCCATACGCGCACGGATGTCATCCTTATAATCAAATCAACATGGCCTTACCGACGGTAGACAATAACCGTAGTTTTGTGTCCTGCATTTTCTCTCTTTGATGTGCATGGGAAAGCTCATCAAATGGATAGCAGAAAGACATAAACCTATGTCCTCAACATTAAAAAAATACTAAAATCTCAGTGCCAACACATAACAATGAGGTACTTGGTCCAATGTCTGTCTAAACCTTAACCTTTTCTGTGTTGCTAGGGACTCAAGGATGTTTTATGCTGTGTTTCTTACATTGAAAAGTTCCTTAAGATCATAGAACTGTCCGTGGATGTCCCCACACACAGTGACAGGCGAATCTACCATGTGAACGTTGCTTTCTTCTATCAGGATTTCCCTGGAAAGAAATAAAAGTTAAGACAACTCAAAACAACAGCTAAACACTTACAGACTGGTCCAATCAAACTGTTAATTGCATTAGGTATTCTATTAACGTGAAAAAGTAATACACCATAACAAGGTTATGTGCAAACTGTAACATCCTTTTACAGTCACAAAGCACAGCTACATATATCTTAAACCCCTTATTTAGACAGTGGCCTCTTAGAATAGTTGCAATGGACAGAACAATTCAGAACAAGAAACCGTAAACTACATTGAGTATTTTATTAACGTAAAAAAGTACTACATCAAAAGAAGGTTATTTCTAAACTGTAACATCCTTTTACAGTCAAAAACCACAGCTGCATTACATTAAAAAAAACCCTACGTATAGATTCTGGCCTCTTACAGTAGTAACAATCGACAGTACCATTTTACACATGCCACTAATAGAAGAGCACAATTTACCTTGCCTTCTCACAGAGAGCTTTTACCTCGACCTCACTGATGATTTCACAGCGTCGGAGCTGCTCTATTTGTCTGTAGAGGGGGGGTGAGAGAATTGTTAAAGCATCATTACAATAATTAACACCACAGAATCTAATTCTGAAACACTTACTTCCAAGACTGTCAAAGACGGAAGCAATCAATTAAACCACAGTAAAAGACAGTAAGGTTAAGAAATGGATTTAGAGATTAGATTTCTCGCCATACAATAGTCTGTGTCATTTGTGCAGCCTTTGTGACCAGTTAGTTTTTAAAATAAAAGCCACATTTTGCCAAACGTTTTTATTTACAGGCTCGCATCAGTTTTGAGGTTTCCAGAGGATGTTATCCATATAATCAAATCAATATGGCCTAACAAAATAATTTTTTGCCAAAATGTTTTGATTCACACGCTCGCATCAGTTTTGGGATTCTTAGCGGATGTCATTCATAAAATCAAATCAACATGGCGTAATAAAAAAAAGTATTTTTGCCAAAACTTTTTGATTCACACGCTCGCATCAGTTTTGGGATTCTCAGAGGGCGCCATCCATGAAATCAAATCAACATGGCCTTAGAGTAAAAACAAGTGCCAATCAAGATGCTAGCAAGGATAAACACATAGAAACAGACCTGTCTAAGTCAGTGTAGTCAGTCATGGCAATGGTGAGATATCGTAGATATCTTTCTTCAAGAAAGCTCTCAGCGGCTCACTGTAGAGGAGATAAGGAAATGATAGATTTGTCAAAAACGATCAAATCTTGACGGTAATAAAACATGATTTCATATTTGTCGATTTTCACTAGATATTTCATGAATAAACATACCAATATAATAGTGGCAAGAGTCAGAACCATCCTGTTTGGAACTGAAGAAGTTGCAAAGTATCTAACTGAGATCAAATATGTGTACTATTCGCGTATTGAATGAAATAACGTGAACATTCTCACAACCAAAAACACATACAATGGTTGGTAAACAGGTTTCTACAAGGATGTAAGATGGCTTGTACATGAGGTAAGGTGTAGGTTGGGTACTAGTGGTACCCATGGTGGAAACACACTACTAATGAACAGTTATATGGTTCGTTACCAAATGTAACTACTGTAGTTAATGGTCGACGACTAAGCTTGGCCGGTCATGTAGTACGTAGTGAAGAACCAGCCAGTAGGCTTCTACTCTGGAACCCTGACACAAAAAGAAGAGTTGGGCGGCCAAACGTAACACTTAGGAAACTTATAGAAACTGAAACAGGCTTGCAGGGCCTGGAACGTATCTCTGCGGTGAAGGACAGAAAGTTCTGGAGATCAAACTTTGTATGCTTTGATGATGGGTACTAGTAATAACACGGTATCACAGTACGCAGGCCTGGGTCGTTACACTCTTGTATATTTGAATCTACTGGTCAGTTTCAACCAGCACAAACCGGATTATACATACAGGCAGCTGGCTACAACTTTGTATACTGTAGTCATTAGAAATAAAAAAAAAAAATTTACACCTGGTTTACTGTAATTTGCAGTTTTCTTAAAGATGCGTACAGGTGTTCCCTGTACAATTTTACTATGTGTACTGAAACACAATACAGAGTGATCGGTGTCCTGTCTCCAGCTGACGCACAAGTGTTTAGGCACTAGGTAAATTAAGCATTACAGAATTATAAATGAAACAAATGAGTTAATGTAATTTGAATAATGTTAAGCATAAAATGCCCTAACACCTCAAAACACAGTAAAAAAAAACAAGTTGTTTAACGTCAACAGGATCATTTCGATGCCTTCTTGTTCTATGCAAATGGGGGTTAGACCCCACGATTCGCAATGCATCCTGGGGATGGGAAACTTGTGCAAACACAGTTACAGATTTTAGCATGTCCTTACCTTAAACAGAGAATGGGGCCACAGACCACTAATTTCAGCCCTTACGGGGCACGCGCGTCGCTCGTACTCGCACGCACGGGTGGTAAATCCGCAGACCGCACGTAGAAAAAGTTTTACATGCACTTAAAGTTCTACGGCGTGTCTGCGTGCTCCCAAATCCGTAGGATTCCGTACGGAGGCGGTACTCACCACGCACGGATGCCCTGCGTTTGCCCACGTTTTTGCACTTAGAAGCACGTACGGCGGGTTGTGACCGTAGCATTAGGGAAATAGTGACCTTTGACCCGGGCCGGATTCAATCCGCACTGGCCTCTAAAATCTGCATGGCAGTCTGCCGGAAGTGACGTTCAATCTACCGCACGTAGCGCAGTCTGCCGGAAGTGACGTTCAATCTATGGCACGTAGCGCAGTCTGCCGGAAGTGACGTTCAATCTACCGCACGTAGCGCAGTCTGCCGGAAGTGACATTCAATCTATGGCACGTAGCGCAGTCTGCCGGAAGTGACGTTCAATCTACCGCACGTAGCGCAGCGTGCCGGAAGTGACGTTCAATCTACCGCACGTAGCGCCGTCTGCCGGAAGTGACGTTCAATCTACCGCACGTAGCGCAGTCTGCCGGAAGTGACGTTCAATCTATGGCACGCAGGTGATCCCGTGAACGGTGAATTGGGTTCCCGGGATGTGTTTACCTCTTTACGTGGGTCGCGAGAGAAAATTCCTGCGCCGCAGTTCAAAGTAAAACCCTAAGAATCACGGAACCCTCTCGGCTTCAAACAGCTGACCCGTCCCGAAATGCCGTACTGTGTTGTAAACAGCACGGTGGGTGGGGCGGTTGTGTCCGATACAGCCCAGCAAATAGCTAACATTCACCGCTGTAGAGACAGGATATAAGCAGTGTCCCTGGCCCTTTTTGAAGACGAGTTTTACCTCACAGTTTGATATACTATTGTCGTCTGTTACCCACGTAAATGGCTGGCTTTCCCCTCGGTGTGAACCCGCTGAAGTCGTCCGACCGCTTCCCCGTCACAGACACAGGCCTGCGGGCCAGACGGAAATTTGGTTTTGTAGTCAACAAGGCTGGACAAGAACTCTTAGACACCCCCATGAAACTCCTTCCTCTTCGCCCCCGCCGTTCTGCTTCGCCCCCGCCCCGTTCTGCTTCGCCCCCGCAAAAAATCTGCTTCGCCCCCTTCGTTCCTCTACGCCCCCGACGCAATTCTGCTTTGCCCCCGTCCTTCTGCTTAGCCCCCAATGGCGGCAAAGCTCACAGTCGACACGAAAATCGTCTGCAAAATAACAATAAAGGCTGTGCCGCCAAATTTAAAGTAGCCCATGCTCCGGCAAACATTCTGGACCACCTTTCTGCCAAGTGGCGTTGCACAAATCCTTCCCATTCAAAAGTTTACCCCTACCTCACGGCCCGTCAGTGGTTCTTACGTTTATAAGTACTGGCGTTTATAAGTACAGCCGTGAGTGAAATTTCCCGCCAGTACTTATAAACGTAAGAACCACTGTGGCGATGCTCCCATTAGTACAGCCGTCCATTGAGCATCGCTCACAAAGAATTCGATGGAAACTTGAAGTAGTTGATGTAGTTTTTTCCCAGTGTAACGGAGCTTACATGAAGTGTGAGCCTCTCTTGCACTGCTCAAGAGAAGACTGATTGAAGAAAATGTATCTCTCTCTCTGACGACAACTCTGTTTAACCTTGATCTAGTTTAAGGGACTTGTTTACTCATCTTTGAATGAATGAACGTCTTATCATTGAACTTGAAGTTGTCCCTAAAGCTGTGCTATGTAGCCTGGTAAAAGGGACTATTACCATATTTAGTTAAGTTTCTGTATTTACCTCAGGTAACCTAAGGTGGGCCGTGTAACCCTAGTATACATATACACAAGAAATAAATTGAAATTCTATTGTTCTCGTAGCTGGAGCGATATCCTTCATTTGCAAGCACAGTGTTTTGGCTTAAGAGGTATTTCCTAAAAGAGACGGTATGCAGAATCGAATTGAGACCCAAAATGAACTGGGGTGTGCCCCCTAAAGGCGCTATGAAGTTATGCTGACTACAAATGTGCGGAAACACAAACACACACACACACACACACACACACACACACACACACAGACAGACACACACAAAGACACGACCAAAAACAATACCTCTAATTTTTCATGGAGGTAATGATCTACTCAACTTATCGTATAGCCAATATAGAAATGGGTTTTAAATTCAGTTACCTGGTGAGCTGTTGTAAATTGATGACAATGTAGGCTCTGCTATGCGCTACCAGTGGATGCTTCCTAAAGAGACGGTCACAACCCGCCGTACGTGCTTCTGCGTGCTGTCTACGTGCAAAAACGTGGTCAAACGTAGGGCATCCGTGCGTGGTGACTACTACCTCCGTACGGAATCCTACGGATTTGGGAGCACGCAGACACGCCGTAGAACTTTAAGTGCATGTAAAACTTTTCCTGCGTGCGGTCTACGGATTCACCACCCGTGCGTGCGAGTACGAGCGACGCGCGTGCCCCGTACGTGCCGCACGGAAGTAGCACGTGTGAGTACGGCCTCCTTACGGTAAAGTTCCAATCGCACAGAGATCGTACGTTGTAAGCACGTACAACTCACTTACCACTTGCGCAACGTACGATGCACGCAACCGCTCACAGCCAGACTTGGCGTGCAGACCACACTCTTACACCTTGCGAAACCGTGCGAGTGACGTGCGTAGACGCCACTCCTTCCCCACGTTTTCAGAAAAAACGTAGCAGACGTAGCCTCCCAAAAAACCTACGGACAAAAAGCACGCACGGCGGGTTGTGACCGTCGCATAAACGTTGTCTAAGTTGATGATTTTTTTCGGTAGAAAAAAAATAAAATCTTAACCAGGATGATTAACTTTAATTGGCGTACGTCTTCTTCACATTAAATGCTTGACTGCGGACAGGTACGTTGGAAATCTTGTTAAAGCCCCTATGTAACAAGGGATGTGCATTTTGGGGAATAAACAGCTTTCCACACATGTAATTGTAGAAATTGCCTCATTTTTATCCAAGCGCCCATGAATTTGCGAAAACTAAGTGTTAAATCCACCAGCTCTACTCTAGTGCAAACTCGGCAGTGAGACCGGAAGTGACGTCACAGTAGGAACGCGAGCGTCATAGTTTAGCAGACGACAGGAACTGTCATGTAGTTTTTTTGTCAGCCCAAGTTTTTTCGTCAGTATCTTTGTTTATCTTTGTTATTATAGAAATATGGTGCGTAGATGTGTAGCTTATGGTTGTTCTGGGACTACTAAATTAGGACTTAGTTTGCATAGTTTTCCAAGCAGCCCGCGGAGAAGGCGATTGTGGACCCAGTACGTACAGCGCCGTAGAAACAACTGGACGGGAGGGGCGAAAGCCGAACTGTGCAGTCGTCATTTTTCCAGCGACCAGTTTGTCGGCGGACTCGAGCGGGAATTCGGAATACGTAAACGCGTTCAGTTGAAGCCCACAGCCGTGCCGGATGTACATGCGTTTGACGAAAGACCGGCTGAGAGTGGGGCGTCGTCTGCTGTAAGCGGCTCACGTACGGCGTTCGAAAAACGCAGACGACAACAGGTAACGTTCTGTGAATACTCTTGTGACACAACATAAACTCTTAGGCAGATCAGGAGTGACGATATAGATGTAGATATCTTCAGAATTAGGAGCCGCCTCGTTTACTTTCCGCTTTAGCTAACGTATTATTATGGGCGTGGGGTGGGAGGGGGGCGCCGGCGAAAATACGTAAACATACATAGCTTGTACGCGGCTCTTCCACAAGTCACGCAGGCCCCTTTTGCAGTGAGTTTTTAAAATATATAGTGCTGGACTTCGATATTTATGTACCGTACATATCTGTAGCGTCAGTCTTTATATCTCTTGCTGGACTCTTACTAGTTTGACATGTATCATATAAATTGCCGTACAATGCAAATACATGTAGTACATTTACTTTTCACACAGATCATTGCAGACCTGTTGGAACCCAGTGTACAGGTATGTTGTATTGGTTTTGTTTAGATACTTTAAATTGAATTTTTAATTGTTACAAAGTGAAAGAAAAACTGTCAGGAACAATGGACAAGTAAGCAAGAAATAATTTTATTTATTTTTGTAACAATATAAGCTTATACATTGAAACATTAGTCACAATGTGCTGTGTGGTAACTATTGACCAATTTTTTAAAAACACTTTCTGTTTCATTTAGGATCAGAATCTCTCAGAAGACAAGGTTGATATTGAGGTATGTTACTTGAAATGATAAATACTTTGTGATGAAAACTCTCTCCTATACTAAATGTCAGATATAATTGAACTTCTTCTAAGAGTTACAAGATTTTTGAATCTGAGGGGTGCACTGTTTTGTTTGACTCTTTTGACACAATCTATTCTTTCATCTTGAAGATTATGTGGTAAACCTAATGTAAATTAAACAATCCTCAGGTTGTAGCTGAGCTGAAAAACAGTGTGGGCACACAGACAAAGTCCTCAGGCAGACACAGAGGTAAAGATGGTGTGATGCTCAAGTGTTTTGTAACACAGTTACTGTAAAATGTTTCATGCATTACAGCTGTATCAAGAGTTTTGCAACATTCCTTTCCATTGTACATCTTTTTCAAAAGTTTATCTGTATACAATCAGCATTAAGGCACATATTATTTCCACTTATGACAATGATGGTTTTGTTTTGAAATAGACATTTTATACAATTATGTATGTAATTTTGAAATACTATGAAGAATTGACAGTGCTAATATTTCAAAGTCATTTTGCTTGTTATTCTTCAGCAACACAGGTCACTCCTGCTCGCGCTGACGCAGGGGTCCAGTGCACACTCCTCGCCCCACCCCCGGAGAATGAGGACACCGATTCGGAGCCGGAGTCTGAGGAAGAGGAGGATGACGATGATGATGAGGACTACTTTCCCTCAGAGGAGGAGCTGTCAGACACTGATAGGTCAGAAGCAATTGCAACATATTCCTTCATTTGTTCAAATAGCCTCTTTTATCACAGTATCATAACAGTAAAACACATTTGTTGAAATCCCTAATGTGGCATCACAGCTTTATGTGCAAACCAATTTTTTTTCAATCTTTACCTAGTGATGACTTAGAGACAGAAGAGATTCATCTGCCAGATGAGTCAGTACCACCCCAGGAAGAGAGAAAGTACCTTGTCTTCCATTCAGCTCTTCTGCAGCTTTTCTCTCTCTGCCTACTCTGTGGTAGTGGAAAGCAGAAGCTTCGCCTCGAGACCATTGGGTCCTTCCTGTCCATCACACAGATTTGTACCTTGTGCGAACATGTGAGGACATGGAGCAGCCAGCCATTCATACGCAACACACCAGCTGGGAACTTGCTGATCTCTGCAGCAGTTCTTTTTGCAGGTATTGAATTACTTCCTGTCAATCATGTCTAAAGTCATATAAACTGAACCTTTAAAGCCACATTGCAAGGAGGTTTACAGATGAGTTAATGTTAATTTGTGTATAAGTACATACTGTCCCATTATTATTATTATTATTATACTATATACACAGATTGATGTAGGTAACCAATAAAATTGTCAAATAGACAAATCACAATGAATTTGTATGCTTTCAAACAGGGGCAATACCACAACAGGCGTTGAACGTCTTTGCCTGCCTTCGCCTACACTGTATCTCAGCTAGAACTTTCTTCCGGCACCAACGTATGACCCTCCACTTGGCAATCAAGAACGTCTGGAGTAGGAAACAGGAAGGCATGTTTGCAGCCCTGCATGAAGGAGGACAGGCACTGATACTGGGAGGTGATGGCAGGGCTGACAGCCCTGGACATTCAGCCAAATATGGGTCTTACACCCTTATGGATTTGAGGACTAAAAAGATTCTTACCCTACAGTTGGTTCAGGTAAGTAGCTTCTCCTGTTTTTAGAATTTTTTCTCTTATCTATTAGTATTACAACTACAGGTAATTTTTAAGCAAGCAGCAATGCCTTAATAACATTAAATGCAAAGCACTTAAATGTAATGATGAAATGATTTGATGTTACTCTGGTCTAAAAGTTTTCCTACCTGTATTATTTCACAAAAACAGAGCAATGAAGTCGGATCAAGCAATGCTATGGAGAAGGAGGGTCTGGCTAGGGCGATTGACTTCATAAGGAGGAACTGCACATTGCAGATCGGCAAGATCGTCACTGATCGCCACCTACAGATCGCCAAATGGATAAGGGAAAACCTGCCAGAAACATGTCATCTGTATGACATCTGGCACATTGCTAAAGGTAAGCATTCCTAGTTCACACAGACGAAGCAAGAGGGCTGACTGTCCCTAGTTAGTGCTGATTTATAATTTTACACAAACTGCAATTATTGTGGACCTTACAAAGAGCAAGTTGTTAGTGTTTTGTTAGCTTCTCTGGAGTGTTTGAGTGGTTGCTATACTGGTTACATTAAAATTTAAGGACAAAGAAGACCAATTCAATAAGCCCCACTGAACAAATTCAGACTACTAGTAAATAAACACTTTTTGGTAGGTGTAGTAGTGTTCTCATGCAGTAATTGGTTTGTTATTAGGTCTCAGGAAGAAGCTTTCTGCCTTGGCAAAGCAGAAGGAGTGTGAGGTAGTAGGTGATTGGACAAACTCCATTGTCAATCACCTATACTGGTGTTCCACAACAACTAGGGAAGGTGCTGGTGACTTGGTGGAGGGCAAGTGGTTGTCTCTTGACAACCACTTGCACAATGTTCACAGTGGCCACAGTGAAGCCTTCCCACAGTGTGCCCATGGGCCCTTGCGCAGACAGTGGCTTAAACCGAGTAAGACAGTTATTAGTAGGTTCTGTCTGTCAAAACCAAGCATTGGGTGGCCAAACTAAATAAAGTTTATCCTAGATAAACTTTAATATAAGGTCTAGTCTACAAATAAAACAAAAAATTGGTAAGCAGAATTACATTTCACAAATGGTTGTTTCAGTGGCAACAGTTTGCTTGGTTTCTACAGTCTTAAGTTGTTCAGTCTTGATAAAGTAATCCAATACTGATTTTCAAACATTTAAATTGTAAGGTGGCTTACATGTACATGAAGCTGCATAATTACATCAACTATTATAACAGCAACAATAACAAAGTCTTATTGTTTCTTCAGATGTGCATACTGTAATACAGCCAGTTCATTTACAAGTTACACTGCAAACATGTTAGTGTGGCATCTCCAAAAACTTGTTACATTTTTACTTATTGTGGTATTTGTGTTTCAGACACAAAGGCCAGTGTTAAGCTTTCTGCTATCATTACAAAGAAAAGCCTTCTGAAGGACATCCGAAAGCTGTCACCCAAATACCAGACCGCACACTTGGAGGCATTCCATAGTACAATCAACCACTTTGCTCCAAAATGGGCAGCATTCTTTTACATGGGGATGTTGTCAAGGTATGTTCAACTTTTTAAAACAGCAAGTGTTAAATTTTGTAGAAATTTAAATAGGTATGTATGACAGTAGCCATAAAGTTGACCTGAACAGGGGAGGAAAATGGTCTATGACTGTTTCTGTTACTAGTATTCATATATGCAAATTTGAAAAAGAATAAAACGTATTTACACAAAAAAATACAATTTTACATATATATTGTTTTTTGCTACCTCTTATACCATGTACCTGTACTGTATTACCCTTCAGGCTCCATCTGGCTGCTCTGCACCACAACGAAAACTGTGGGCGGGGACAGGCCAGAAACAAGGATGGGGAGAGAATCTATAAGATCAGGTATAAAAAGTTCAAGAAGTCATGCACAGTGCAGGCAGTGCAAGGGAGCTGCACGTTTGGTAAGGACTATCTACTGTACTCCTGGGTTAAATTATCTTGATATAAACTAGGTTAGCTCAGACATAGTTTTTTAGGGCCATTCTATATATTGTTATAAGGTCACACCGGGTTAATTTTATAAAAATGCATATGCTACTGTTTACCATCCAATACAACTAACAATTCTCTCCCTGTAAAATGCAGACTATGTGACTGAACTCACAGAAGAAGCAGTGAGGCTCTGCGAAGAAGCTATCGTGGATGATGATCTGATGGAAATACCACCAACCCTTACAAGTACTAGTGGTGCTGACAGGCTGAACAAAGAAGCTGCCATCCAGGCCCACAGAACAAGATTCAGCATTGATGAATAGTAGTAAAAGTACAGTTCTTCTTCTGCAGTACAGTAGTGTAGTAATAAAGCACACATGTAGTAGTAGTACAAGTTAGCATCCTTCCATATCAAGAGAGGATGGTTTCACTGTGCTGTCATGGCTGTAAATTTCTTGTATACATGTATATATTGAGACACCCTTAACTTTGAACCCTGATCAACATTTGAACCAACTTAGGTAAACTTATACTTCTAACAAGTTCTATTCTGTGGCTGACAACATTAGCCTTCCATTACTACTAATTCAGTGGAGGGTACTGGAATCCTGTGTATTGTGCTGACGGAAAGGTGTCCCTGATCTTTGTCACTGCACATGCAGGGAGGACCACTCTCACTTCTCTTCCCAGCCACCCCCAGCACCAACGCACCAACTGGCGGTAGGCAATGTACCGGTACCTCCTAAATTGGACGGCTTGGTTAATTTTTTTTACATTATCCATTGTAGCAACTAAACTGTGAACTTGTATAAGTCTGTATCAAATTTATATGGACTACAGATTACTAGTAGATAACGAACTTCACTGGTTAACTGAAACTGTGCACATCAGTTCTATAGGAAACAGGAAAATATTTCCACCGTGATTGAACAGTGACTGCTGGTACTAAATTTAAATTGAGTGGTCATAAGATACATACCCTCAGTAAACTTGTACTGCTGAAGTAATGCACATACAGATACTAGTATGTCTCCAATCAACATTTAATGTTAATTTATTAGTTGGAAACAGAGAACGTGCATATCGCTAGGTAGCTTACTCATGGGTTGGATCTTGACTGGGCCCATACTCTTGCCTGTACTGGTAGTAAGCACACTGTAGTGCCCAGATGTCTAGACAGACTGATGAGAAGCCAGGGTGCATGGTTATGCACTTGGGGGCCGGAGACACCCCCTCCATAGTGTTCCTAATTTGTTCGTGTTCTTGACAACAGACACATTCTGTTGTGGTTGCCATTATACGGCAATTATCACATCTGCACCTGAAATGTTATATAGAATTATGTGATACATATACCATATAGGTAATAGTTGTATCACTCTCAACTTTCCAATGTTATTAAATAAATTTTTAGGCAGGTAGGTATGATGATGACTTATTCAAAATGTCCATCCTACTAGTAATAAGTAATTTAGCGTGTTTAAAAAAAAGACATGTCTTCAACCACACATACTGGTAAACACACACACACTTCTGTGGATATATTTATCACAAACAGCACAAAATTAAAGACAACAAAATTCTGGCAAATAGAGTTTATTTAACAACTATTCAAAATATGATACACATAAGAAAACTGGTTTAGGATACATGTATTTACGTGCTGTCGAAAAGTTTATCGCAAAGAAATCTGTTCTAAATCTAATGTTTACAACGTGCTGTTTGGATGATGAGAGGAAAATGTATGCAACTTGACTTTTTCTGCACAATTTGTGCCAAATAAACTACTTGAACAATAAAGATTTATAGTTCATTCATGAACATTCATGAATAAAGTTTCTGTGCGTAGCTGACGAATAGCCTGTTTTTCTTTCGTAGCGTTTACTTCTGCGTCGACGCGACAAAAAAATTTATCACAGAATACCACCGAGCCCCCCTCCCCCTTCACGAACCATAAAACGTCACAACGCCGAACTGCTCGTACGCTGAGCCCTCAGAATTATTCGGAACAATTAATCCGTGACATAACTTTTAGTTCCTTGCAGACCAAGTAGCACATAAAACAGTGTGACACAGTACCTTCATCGCGTACAAAGCAACTATATAACCTTGCGTTATATTTGGAACTGAAGGACGCAACGGGCGGCTCAGCGAGCTCAGCGTATACACACCAGTTTCGGTTTGAACGGCGGTCCTGATTCCCGCGATCTGGTGCCTCTGGATCCCCGTCTTCTCCCTCCGCCGCCTCGGGCTCAAACTGGTAAGGTTGAACGCCCCCAACGCCGTACGCGTCGCCCCACTCGAGCTCTCCACCAACTTCCATGGCTTCCGCCATTTTGGGCGACCTCTCCTCTGACCCGTCGGCGGGTGGGCGTTCCTACTGTGACGTCACGTGACGTCATCACCCAGATTTGCCGAGATCAAGGAAACCCAAGATGTTTGGCGCGCTGTGTTAAAAACGAGCGCGCGCTGGTGGACGCGATTGCTAAAATTTATGAGCACAACCGACAATCTTCAGATTAAGTACAACAGATTAAGTCTATTTTCCCTGTTACATAGGGGCTTTAAAGTGTTTTTTTTTCGGGGGGGGGGGATCTATTAATCTAAAATGAAACCACATAAAAGGAAATACAATATAGAAATGGCGACGCACTCAAGTTAATAAACTTAACTATGCTCTGCCATCAAACATAGAATAATTAACAAACATATAATCAGGAGGTTACGAAACGGTTACTTTTATTAGAAATCTTAGGTTAATACAGAATTTTACAATTGATTTTGAACGAAGAGCAGGAGTACCCCTTGAAGTAAAAAGTGTATGAAGGCGTCGTTGGAGACAGGATTAATGTCTAAATGAAGTACAACTAGTATCACCCTAGTAAGTTTGCCGACAAGAGGTAGACGTTGATTCTTTAGTAGTGTTGAAACACGTCTGTTCCGGGCAAAGGTCACCATTTTCCACAGGCGCAGAAGGTCTGAGACCCCTTTGATTGAGTGCAGCGAAACCAACTGAAAACAGCCTTTTTCTTGGTATGTGTGGATAAATGCTGGTATTTTCCAGCTGGAGAGTTATTTCTATTTCTATTAACTTGAAAAAAAACTGGCTGTTAGTGTTGTTTTGGCTGCTTGGTAGAGTTCTAGAACTAATCCCATCTTCTTTTCTTTTGGTGGTCTTCAAGGGGGTCAGAGGTCATGCTTCTTGTGTTTGCATTTGCCGTGCTATGTATCGCTGGTCAAAAAGTGAAATTTTTGGACTAAATGGACAACTTGGAGGTTGGACTACCCTGTCAATATCGTGTGTTTGCAATAGTTGAACACTCAAGTAGGTGATTGTTGACAGCTCAGTTCTTAGATGTTTTCTATGTAATTCCAATAGGGGCTGGAATTAGTGGGCTGTCCCCTTCCGGAGATCGCATTTCTTTGTTTTAAGTCTGCGCCTGCGCGAGATTCGATCTCGCGAGAAATTGCCCGTGACAACACGAGATCTTGTTACCTGATAATAGCCCCTGACGTCTTGCGCATATTTAATCGCTCGGAAGGAAACAGGCGTGAGAACGGTTAAAATAATGATATTTCTGCACTAATAACATGACTTTCTTTCATTTGGAAGCTATTTTAACAATTTAGAATCAAGAAGCAAAAGGAAAACTCACCATTTGAGTGTTATGCACGCTGGTATAATACATCCATCCAAGGAGACCGCTCACGGTGAATACAGTAGCGATAATCACCGCAGCGCATATCCGTCCAAAATTGGACTAAACTTGTACATTAGAAAACTGAATTTCTTTTTTTTTTAAACAATTTGAAGTAAAGCCATGTTGATTTGATTATATGGATGACATCTTCTGGAAACCCGAAAACCAATGCGAGCGTGCGAAATGAAAAAAAAAAAAGGGAAAAATTATTTATTATGAAGTCTAGGTGGTCATGAAGGTTGAACCAATGACTTAACACACCAAATAATATTTTGGCTGCTTGCTTTAAGAGATTGAAAAGAAAATTGAAAGCTTTATAAGAGATGCAAAGGCTGTAAAAAAATCTTACCGCAGGCTCCATGTTGGCGAACGTTTGGTGCGTGCATCAAATTAGGGATTTGCACATTTTGGACGTTCATCGGATTAGACTGAAGAACATTTGGGGCATGTCGCAGTTTTTGTGTGGCTCGGTCATCTCTGTTACATGTTGTGGTATTAGCATCCCTGGTTGACGATATTCCTCCAGCCAAATCGATGAGGTTGTTTGTCATTGAGGACGTTTTAATTTCATCAGTTGCCATGTCATCGAGACTCATGTTTGCTTCTGCATACGGCTGAATATCAGGAAAATTGTCAATTGCCTGTGTGTTCTCATTATCATTAGCAGAGTCTCTCTCTTGATATCGAAAGGATACGGTTGGATATCCAGGTTTTCACTACTTCTGGTTTGTCAGAACTACCGCACCATCAGTTTGATATCGCACCCAAGTAAAATCCTTTTAAAGGTCATCTTGAACCGCCTTCAACCACAAGCTGAACAAATCCTCGCAGAAGAACAGGCTGGATTTAGGAAGGGAAGGTCTTGTGCAGAGCAAATCTTCAACCTACGCATGATTTGTGAGAAGTACAGGGAACTGGGAAGATCAGTGTACCATACATTTGTAGACTACAAAAAATGCTTTGATAGGATATGGCAAGATGGACTGTGGGCAGCAATGCGTCGCTTCGACATCAGCCGGGGAATCATCAACTCAATCGAAGCATTATACAAGGGGTCACAAAGCACAGTGATGACAGGTGACGAGTTCAGCGAGTGTTTCCCTACCTCAGTGGGAGTCCGTCAGGGCTGTCTCTTGTCACCAACACTTTGTAACATCTTCTTGGAGAACATCATGAGAGAGGCTCTGTCACCTCTGGAGTCACCGGTTAAGCTTGCAGGACGTATCATAAACCACCTTCAGTTTGCCGATGACGTGGATTTGCTTGACGGCTCAAAACGAGACCAACAAGCCCACTTCAGCAGCCTGGGCTCTACCAGTAGGAGATACGGCATGGAAGTCAGTCTCGAGAAGACCAAGTGCTTAGTGACTGGCCCTCCAGACACAGTACAGGTGACAGTGAGAGGCACTGACCTTGAACAAGTTAACGAATTCAGCTACCTAGGTCCCTACAGACAGCGGACTGCAGCTCTAGCAGAGAGGTCAAGATTAGGATTGCCAAGTCTACCTCAGTATTGGGAAAACTCAAGCACATTTGGACTAGCAGTAACATCTCAACAAAAACCAAAATCTATCTCCTACGTTCTCTAGTGTTGTCAATATTCCTGTATGGGGCGGAGGCTTGGACGTTAAACGCAGAAATCACGAAACGAATTAATGCCTTCGAGATGAACTGCTACCGGAGATTACTTCAGATACACTGGTCTACACACACCACAAACGAAGAAGTTAAGCAGCGAGTCAAGTCACTGGCAGGCCCTCTCCCCAGTTTCCTGTCACTGGTAAAGAAGAGGAAGCTGCAGTGGTTTGGGCACGTAACTAGAGCGAAGGGCACCTTAGCTCACACTACACTGCAAGGGAAGGCGGAGGGTGGACGAATGAGGGGGCGCCCTCGAAGGACCTGGACTAGTGACCTTAAGGAATGGACAGGACATCCCCTGAGTCACCTGACAAGTCTGGCTGAGAACCGCCCTGGGTGGATAACTCTTGTGGACAGTTTAGTTGCCCCGACGGCAGGACAGACTGCTATGGGACCGGTGAGGTGAGGTGAGGTGAGGTTTGCCTGGATTCGTCATCGTGGCAAAGGTTTGCAACAGCGTATGGCTGAATTTCTGGAATATCTGTTTGCACGTTTTCTGCATCACCATCACCTGTTGTAAAAAGCCCATTACCATCGTTACCATCACTCTCTTGATACCGAACAGCATACGGTTCGATAAGTGTGTCTGTACTACTGTTAGCATGCATGGATTCAATATCAACGTTATTTTGTAGCCTTTGCTTTATATCAGAGGTAAGATCGCTTTGAACGCGTGTTGTAATGGTTTTTAGATTTCCTTTGAGACGCTTTGGATCCGTCACAGTGTTTATTGTGTAGGCACGGCACGCTGGGTTACATGTAGTATCCAGGCTGTTTTGACGGTATATCTGATTAGACTGCAAGTTGTTTTCTGTGCACGTTGGATACACCGGGTTTGGGTCCTGAGTTTTTTGTACAAACATCGGATAAACTGCATTTGGATAACTTTTGTTCATGTTTTTTTCAACATGTAAAGAATCCGAATAGTCTGTATCATTCTGGGATAAGCCACATGCAGCAAAGTTCGTTGAGATACCATTGCTGCCATCAACAGTGATGACGATCCGCACATCCAGCCATACGCTGTTCACTACTAGCAAGATGATGACGATGGTAATGATGATGATGTGAACAATCAACCTGACAACAGTAGTTTCCGGACTTCTTTTTGTCAAACCAACTCCTTGGTCAAACACTGTTCTCTAAGCTGATGTTGCTGATTCCCTGCTGAGTTTAAAGGGTTGGATACTGCTTGGTTTTTACAGTGACATTTGGATCTAAACACTAAGTGAACCCTATAAGATCGTCGGAAAACATTATAAATCCAGAACTCTTGATGAGTGGCTCAACGGCGGACTCAAACAGTTTATTGTCTGAATTGTGGCATTGACTGTCCTTATCATACTTCGGCTGACATCCCGAGAATAACTTAAAGGCATCCAATGCGATTTCAGGGCAGCAAAACTCGAAATATTCATAATATTTGTGATATTGACACATACTGCTTTACATTAGCACATTTAAATCAGCATTACATACTTTGGGCATTTAAAACTGCAGAAAAAAAGCCCCTTTATTTTCTGGGTGGTACCCTAAAAATCAGCCCAGGGCCCTTCCAGTAACCGTTTTCTGTCAGAAGTTTGGGAATTTTTGCTCCGTGAGAGTCAGTATATACATTGGGATAGTGTACATGTGGTTTCAACTGAGTTTGTAGATAGATGACTAGAATATTGGCCTTGAAAAATTGGGTTTCCAAGCCCTAAAAAACTGTACTGAATGCCTTTAAGACCGTTTCCCACTAGGATGTTCTCACCGTATCATATCATATCTTATCGTATCGAGTTGTTTTCTGATTCGGGTCTGGTTCACACAGGGAAGTTACAGCTGGCTTAGCCCCGCGCCTGTGTTCTTATTCAAGCCGGTTTTGGCCCTTTATCTCTTAAAAATGGCGCACTGAAAGAAGAGAGTCATTTAGCTATAGCAACAGTAAAACGACAACAGGGAAAGACAAGCGTAACATTTGGGGAGAAATCTCTACACTATGTGTATGTTGACCCCGTGAACCTGGAATGCCCCACATTTTTAGCCAAACATTGTAAGGGATTAGCTACATATATTACCCAAAATTTTATGTTTTTTGGCAAGGAAAATGATCGAAAATCGTAATCTAGGTATTTTCAAATGTCTAATTTTAGGGATAGGTTTTGTCATGGAACGAATTGGTCAAAATGACATTTTTTTAAATATTTCTCGCACTCAATTAGCCATTAGGATAATACAAAAACGATTTGTGGAATATTATGGAGTAAAGTGGAGTATAATTGATACTGGCGTCTACAAGTATTGCGATATAGTTAAGGTCAAACACGGTGACGGCAGTATATTCGTTACGTGTTACATGTTTACTTGAAAATTATGACATCGCTATACTGTCCAGAAAACGGTTTATTTTGTAATGATTAATGATTAATTTTGCTTTGCATAGCATTTTTGTCTTGAAACGTTTTAAAAAGTTTTTTTTTTTCTAATTTGTAGTATCAATTTTGTAAACACAATAGGTGGGCATGTTTTTTTCTTCTTTTCAGCCGACACTTGTCCTTATCCAGAGACCTCGGAGAGTTATAGATCAGGCGGTTTTAAGGACCAAAAGACGTTCGTTCAGAATGTAGTCAACTTTATTTACACTCGGAGAAAACGACACGAGGGTCGGTGTTGTCACCTACGCACAGATTACCCTTATCAAGCTCAATCAAAATTACACCAGAGTTGAGGTATTCAATGAAATTCGTAACATTACTAGGGCTTTCCAAGAATCATGAAATCATGACAGTGCCATGCAAACATTCCTGCAGCAAAACTTCCGATTTGTATCTTTTGTCCTGATCATGTACATGTTGAATTGAAATATTGCCGTAAGACAGGAATTTCACAAGAAAAACATTGTTACTTGAGTTAGGAAAATCATGAATTAAACTCCATTATGGTAATTACGATCTTATTGACATAATCAATGAGACAAATGAAAAACATTTACATAAACTTCACATGTTTCATGGAGGTAAGAGATCTCCGAATTCTTGTTTATGTCATCAACACCCAGGGGTAACACACACACTGATCAAGTAGCTATTTTAACACTACCACTTACACATAATAATAGGATACATTTAGATTGACAAAGGAATCAAATATAAATGATATACAGATGATAATACATATGTAACACAACGTAATAAAATAAAGAACAAAGATGTTGGAAGCACAAGACAAACTTCCCACCCAATGACGGTGTGAAATGTTTTTTTTTTGTCTAACTACCCCAAACCAACGAATTTTAGAAAAGGTCGGACATTACGTCTTCCATGGTTTACAGAAGAGAGGTCAAACCCTTTAGACATAGTTTTAGACATATATGCATAATTATAGTTTCAGACAATTACTTTTTGCATATTGTACAGTTATTTTGTACTCTGTTTTCATTTTCTTTTATCCTTATAAAAGATATCCTTATACACAATTAACCTTCGGGCAGAAATTTGCAATAAAATTCAACAAACTCAATGTTATGGGCAGAACATATCATTATTGAATGTTTTATATTTATATTTAAATGCAGCAACTCTTACAATGCACAAATACATAAAAGACTGTTATTAGAAAAAAAATGTCGAACTGGTAACTAGCCCAACCTGATTGTATACTGTATTATCTCTAAATGTTTTACGCTAGAAAAACTGACGTGGAACTTTTAAGCAGGTGCGACGCATGTTTATGGCCTTTTGAAAGCGATATAAGATGTATTTTTAAAATGAATCAAAATTGCAAAATTGCAAAATGGAACGATGACCCTTAAACTCTGGGCTGTTCAAATTCAGCAAACAACCAGACTCACCGGCCAGCTGTACTTTCTGCCCTGTCATCTACGTGTTCTTTTGATTCTGATATGCAAATTTCGGCACAGGAAATAATTGATGTTAGCATGAAGGTTCGTCTGGGTTAATAAATATATAAGGAAAATAGCTTACTTGTTTACGCCCGAACGGACAAACAGAAATCCTTGAAACCAATGAAGTTAATAGTGCATGAGCTGCGTACTATGGAAGATATTACATATACACGTCACTAAATTACGATATGCCAATCACAGCATTAATTAAGAATATAACAGGTTCTGCGAAGTACAATCCTGAATAACTAATTCTGATGTCTCATTTTAACTGCACGGTTACAAATTAATCTTACAATATGGGACATGACGTTCTACAATCCTGAATAACTAATTCTGATGTCTCTTTTTAGCTGTACGGTTACAAATTAATCTTACAATATTGGACATGCCGTTCTAATTCTGTTCAGAAAGGAAGCCGTTGTTATAAGGTAACATTAATGTACTTTAAACTTGAAACTGAAATAAGAAAGTAAAATGTACAGCCGAAGTGCATGTTAAGTTTTTTTATCCACACCAAATAATTTTCATGGATGACTGGCGGGCGCCTTGCTTCTGACCTGTGACCCAAAATGTAGGAATCTTGCTTTTCGGCCCACCTCGTTTTGTTTTTCGCCCGCTCGCATAATATTTGGAGTCTATGGAGAATGTCATCCGTAAAATTTACTTGCTGTGGCCTTATGGAGCTGGTCGGATTTTCATCTCAGTGCGCTTCAGGGAATAGTTAACGCCCTTCCAGTGGGACCAGTTGACGCCGTCGGCGTGACTCTCATGAGTACCCAGGTGATACAGGCCGTTCAGGTTGGAGCTGTGGCAACTTTGGTACCACCACGCACCTTTGTACGACTGAGCACAGCTGACCGGATCCTCGTCGTCATCTCTGTCCTTGGTACTGAATTGTTTCCCATCATGCACCGTCAAGCTGTCAACTGTGACAAAGGGACAAATTTGACTTTAATTCTTTTGCGTTTAATTGAGCGGATATATATTTTGCTGGACTATTTATGTTAAACCAGATACAAAATACGATACTAACAACATACAGATGCAGATGGATCAGATAACATTTTAAATACTTTTTAGTTTATGAAATGTTGCAATATTTTCTTCAGTATATATAATAGTTCCAATTGAATCTTGGTCACACAGCTATAGTCATATAACAAGTAATATTTTACTACTAGGTACTATTGGCTCAACTTCAAGTGATGACCCTGCTACAATTGGTAACCTCACCTGCAGTACCGCTGTAAGTCCCTATGTGGAGCCTGTAGTTCTGTGATTCAGGTGAGATGGCAAACGTGTCGTAGACGGCGTACGCCGTGTTCCCCTCCACATCCTCCAAATCCACCCTGAGCTGGTAGACTTTCTGCACAGCCAGGCGGTACAAGTTGTCATTCCCCAGCCAGAACTCGCCGTTCAGGTTGGAAGGGAAGCCGGTCTTGTAGTCCGCCCAGCCCCGGTAGAAGTCCACGCTTCCGTCTTGGCGTCTTTGGAACAACTTAAGGAATAACAAGAAAATCGGAGATTTTAGAATGATTTCAAGGATGGCTGAACCCCCGATATCATACCCTTCTAGTATCATTTTTAGATAAAAGAGACAACAAATATACTTTAAAATGAACTTTCTCAATAAAGTTAGAAGACATTGCCAACAAATGAAGCTGTATCTGTATCTGTATTGGTATAGCTCGTATAACTGCCCTTCAACGTAACACACTTGCCTCACAGGCACGCGACGCGGCGACAGCTTGGTATACATATAAACTTTGACCAAGTATGTACATGTCATGTATGCCATATTTGTGGTCAGAAAAACGTAAGAAGGCCTTAATGGATTGTGATAATGTTTGGTATGTGGGTAGGTCGTAGGTAGGCAAAGGTCAAAGTGAAATTTCGGCCTCCTGGTCTCTGACCTTAGTACTGCAGCAGAACTTCCGGTTTTGTATCTTTGGCATGCTATGTATGGTGTTGGTGTTTTGGTGGCCATTAGCTTTCATGTCAGGAACATGTGGTGTGGGTTTGAGCCTCCTAGCAGCTTGTTCTGGAACTACAGGGAAATTTCCAGCGAAGTCTTTCAAATCAGATTAATAAAAAAAGAAACAACTAATTTCCATGATTTTTGACATTTAGGTAGCTTAGACAAAGATGTACACATTAATTCGAATGATTAATAAGGAAATCTAAAAATCCTAAGGTTCCGGGTCGGAGTTTAAATCTGACAAGAGTCTAAGTAAGTGCGCAGTAAATTTGCGGAAACGTGACTTCGTTTCGTATGTTTTGGTCGCGAAATCCCTTATCGTGAAAGCTGTGTACGTCTTTGTATTTTCTGAAAAGCCTGTTAGTTGTAACCTTTATAAGTAATGTTTGTGCCCCAGCGAAGACCTCCTGGTAATAGTCCGCGCGGTTGGTAATGTTGTCTGTTCGACTGATTTCCGCAATGTTACGTTCTATGTGCGTTGTGGGTGTGTTTGCGCCATCGAAGATAGTGGTGAACTTATCTCATCGATCTTCATTTTTCCTAATTTTTCGAAACATTAGTTACAGACCTTCTTTGAGTAGTAAGCAGTTACCCTGCGAAAATTCGATTTTTCCATGCAGCCATGTGTAAAACATGAAAAAGGACCCCTTATATAAAGATGTACTTGAATAGGCCTTATTTACTCCTAAAAGATTGGGCGCAGAAAATATCAATCAAATGTACTGAAAAACGGCATGATACCCCTTTGCAACCAGGAGAGTGAAAAAGTCTGACCCGTGTTTCTTACAGAAATGACAGCCCGTCGGTCTGAGGGTGTCAAATCGCTATGAACACAAAACTCCGGGCCGTGACCCTAAATGTTCGTATTCGTATACATGCAATGTATGTAATATATGGCAAATGGAACATGGTCAAATATAAATTATGCAAGTGAACACCTAATTTGCATAATTAATGCAAAAATTCCACAATTGGTTTTTGGCAAATCCACGATCAAAAAGAAGAAAAAACAGAAACAAGAAAATACAACGGCTCTAAATATTTTCATGTAGGTATGATCTCCGAATTCTTGTTTAGAATTATAGTTAAATGACCAGACTTACTGTCCAGCCGCCTCCGTCCGTGTCCATATCACAGTAGACCAGGAAGCCGCCCAGGTTGTCCCGTGGATAAAGCATGTACACGCCGCTGGGCGTGGTCTCGTCGTTGTCAAGGATGTCCTGACAGTCTTGGGGCTTGTCGGCCGCTGTGTCGTTGGCTGAAGTACATAATAATGTGTACAGTCGTTATCATGACCTATTGACATACAACATACCTACCGATATTCAATAGTGTAAAGAGGTAACGCTGAATTACAAAGATAATGTTCAGACGAAGTCAGTAAAAGCGCTAAAGCTGTGGTTTCCGCCGAAGCCGGTTTCAAGGGGCCCCTGACAATCTTCGGATGACGAAGCCAAGCCAAGAAGAAGATCTGAACGCTCCAAATCAAATTGAAAGCGCCTTGATCCCAAACCACTTCGTCTTCGGGATGTAGTTTCGAACCGGTTTTCCCGCATCGCGATTTTCGTCTGAATGCAATGCGATTATAATGTGACTTCACCGGGTCATGGATTACGGGGTGATATTTATTTATTTATATGCAATACCAAAATCTACGTTGCTACTATGAACAAATAATGTGTCCGTTCTAGGGCGAGCTTCACCGCCTCTGGTGGGACCACGTCGGCCGTGGTACGCCGGGAGGCGGGCACTGGCAAGTAGGTAGTGAAAGAAACACGTGGCATATTGACCAGATGTGAGGAATGTGAGTTACCCGAATCGCTGCTCGGCCGGTTTGATGTGAACAAAGCAAAAGACCCTTTCAAATGAAAACGCCGTAACCGCATTGGATCCAAGTTTCACCGAAGCAGGATTCATGTGGCGCCGTCTGAACACTCTAAATCCCATTAAAAGTGCTTTGATCCCAAACCGACTTGGGGGGGGGTGTTTCGAACACACACCCCAGTTTATTTTGGGTCTCAATTCGATTCTGCACACCCTCGACTCTTAAGTGACCGTGACTTTCAGGAAATAACTCTCAAGCCAAAACATTGTATTTGCAAATAAAGGATATTCCTCCAGCTACGAGAACTATAGAATTTCAATTTCTTTAACCTTTCAAATGTTAAGTAAATTTTAGGAGCAAAAAGAATTTTCGATGAAAAATGATGCTAAAAAATTGGCCAGTTTCACGTGCAATAAAACCCATCACCCAGAATTTAGCCACCAAAATGATTTATTTTGTCGGAAAGAGAAAACCCTTATGTGTTATTAAGAAAAGTATAAAGAAAATCCTTAACACTGAGATTATCACAATAGACCGTCATGTGAGGCATAGCGACAGCACCCCCAGAACGCATAAAAGGCATGTCTGGGTCAAACCGAAGCACCGCACTCAAGGCGGAAGGACTCCCTGAAGTAAGCCTCGGGCCTGAAATCAATTTTCACCCAAAACACGCCACTTCTTATACTTTTCAGCCATATCATTAGTTTGCAGCAGATTATGAGAAATGTGAACTCAAACATGAACCATCGAAAGCACTTCGTCACTTTTTTACCGCGCACTATCTCGGACCCCCGTCGCAGAAGAATTTGTGTGTTTACCGTTCAACGCCGTTCCGACCCCAGCCTGAGCGCCGGTTTACTTTACGTATTGCTCCGTCAATTGATTACGGGGTAATATTTCTTTATCTATATGTACCATATTTACGTAGCAGCAACTTCAGGAGCAGAAATGATCAAATAATGTGTCCTTTCTAGGACGAGCTTCACTGCCTCTGGCGGGACCACGTCGGCATTCGGCCGAGATACGCTGCGAGGGGGGCATCAGCAAGCAGGTCGTTGACCTCTAACATTTCTTTATATTCCAACAAGTAATCACAAGACGTAGTAACGGCACATTCAAGTTTTTTTTTTCAACTTATATTAATGCCGCCACCAACACATGGGACAATACCATATTCTATTTTCACCAAGTTAAGTGAGGGAAGTCATGTAAAGTGCCTTTCACAAGGGCACATACAAGATCGGTGACTCGAACCCAGACCTCTTGGTTCCGAGTCGAGCACTCTGTTGCCGCTACGACACTCGACCCCACTACCTCTTACATCAATAAAACGCTACCTACCTACCAAAAGTGATTGTAGCTTATGCGAATCGTCATCGGGCAAGATTTAGAAGAAACGTGTAGCACGTGAACCAGATGTGATTGGTGTGATTTACTCGAATCGCGGCCCCAACTTTTTCGTTTGAACAGGGCTAAAAGACGTTTGTGTTTTCAGTGAAGTAATTTAGTAACCCTTCGTGGTATGCACCCGTTACCTAAGAAACACTGCAATAGCCTCTTGTCGCACTATTTACGTGGTAAAGAAGAATATTGTATTCTGTAAAACTTATATCATTGCAAGTGGTAGTAAACTTGCCTTCAGATCCACCCGTCCCGGTCTGTGAAAGTTGCTCCACTGCGATTTTGAGTTTCTCTAGCTCTGCTCGAAGTGCGTCGTCATTCCCACAATTCACATTACACACACATTTCTCGTCTGACGGTGGTCTACAGACCGACTGGGCAGAGCACAGGAACACACACGTCAGAAGGGACGTTAGAAGACTGAGAAAAGGCGACGCCATGGCGGGAAATGCTTCCTCGTTGGCAAAGAAAACGCTGATATGCCCACAAGGAAGTCTTCCGCTCAGAAGTTGCAGCGTCTTTTTAAACCGACCATTATATTTTCTCAGTGAATCGTTCGGCCGACGTCACCGTCCAAACAATGTTTGGCTTTTGTTGTCAGTGGCACCTTGACAACTGGCGCGTAGACCGCATATCTCACGCTCACCAGACGAACACAAATTCAAATTGTTGACGGACTGGAAACCCTTCATCGATTGGTCAAACCAATAGTTGTTTTGCTATCATTGGTTAAAGTGCTAATTGATACTGGCAGTTAAGATCGGACAATTGATTGGTTCTTGAAATCCAATGGGCAAACAATACTACAAGTGTGTCAGCAAATATGGAAAGTCAAATGCTATGTTTAGACTGTGACTGGTAGGTAGACGTAGTGGGGGAATAACCTAACTGCGTCCAGTATCAAGAGCTGGTGCAGTCGTGTAAAGACCTGGGATGGAGAGCGATGTGATTCCCCTTAGTGGTGGGAACGAGAGGCTTCCGCCAAGAAAAGTACGCCGGAAAATATCATTATATCTGTCAACGGACGTTTCCAGCCAGCTTCCCATGCAGTTATCGTCTGTTAACTCTACAATTTGGGTAGAAATTGTGGTCAAATGTAAATTTTGGACACGAAAAATAGTAGTTTTTTTAGTTTTTTTATCGGACCTCCTTGGAAAAAACGAATTTTCCCAGGATAACAGCTTATATGCTAAAAACGCGTACTACTTCGTGTTTCTGAAATAGAGAAAAAATAGGTTATTGCGATAAGTTTTCCCAAAATCCGGTGACGCGACTGCCTTGAAAGTCCACATAGAACGCAGCTATTTGGGTCATCAGGCGACAAACCGCATCACCCTTGCTCGCGGACGAATACCAAAAACGCTTTGCTTTCCGACCAACTTCACCACGCCGAAAAAAAAACACTACAGTCCCAAGGTTTTTTGGTCAATTAAAAAACTATTTGAAAATCTATCACGATCGCCAAGCTTTGGGGGGCCAAAGTTAGCATGACAACCTCGCAGATCCGGTGATTTACTGCGCACTATTTGGCACTATTTGGAACCCTGGTCAGATTTTAACCCCGACCCGGAACCTTAATTTGGGAAGGAATATGCAAATATACTTGTATATGAATATGCAATTTTCTTCTTCCTGGATTATCCAGCACATATTCAATCTAAATTACATGTCTATAATCTTGCCAGAGTCTCTATACATTTATGATTGATTCTTTGCCTTGTCTTGCGAACCATCGGCATCGTGATCACGTTGTTCCAGGACTTTTCAGGACAAGTATCCGAAGAATTTATCAGAAAACTATCGGAAACATTTCCACTTTCCAAATAAAGATCACGTTTATTCTCGGTCTGGCAAGATCTCGCGAGAACGCGTGAAGACGAGCCTGTACCTGACTCTCTGTCATGGTTGACCTTCAGGTCCTGACGCTTAGTTCTTCGTCTTTCTCGGTAGGTTTTGCGTGTGAACGAAGCTACGAAACAGTTTGATAACACCATGGTGACTCTGGTTGCCTGGGCATATTTTTTTTTCGCCCCCACGTCGATAAGAAACCTTTTCGCCATTACCGGCGCGAAATGCATGACGGGTAATATCCGCCATTTTGACAGATAAACAAAATGTGACACAGGGCACAGCCCAGTAATAGGGCTTTCCTATGTTAATATATGGGAATTATGTCAAAACAACTTGATCGAAATTCATAGACCTTGAAAAACATACATTGACAGGGTAGTCCAACCTCTCCAAATCTCACCAAAAATAAATGAAAAATCCTACGCACCTAAACCATGCGAGAAATCTACCCGAACATTGAGAAGTGATCATGACCCCTGACCCCTCTGGAGAGCTGATGACCGCATGTAAACCTATATCTTCTTCAGCCAGCCAGACAACACAAACATGGATACAAGTCTGTTTTTTCACCAAAATGAAAAATATTACCTTACCTATAACAGTAAAGTCCAAAATAACAACATTCCCCAAGAAAAAGAAGACTTCTTTACACATGACATTGCCATATCTCTTTATACTAGAACTGTGCCCTCTGCGCCTGCGCTATTACTGACCTTTGCCCCAAAGCAAACGACACAGAGAGCGCGCGTGTCGAATATATTTTGTTATAACTAGCCTATTATTCTTATGTTAGTTAGTTAACACTTGGTTATTATTTGTTATAATCTGTTTTAATTTGTTATGTACATGTATTCTGCACACGGATTTATTCGTCTGTGCCACCTGTGCAAAGGTAAAGAATAAAGTTCAAAGAATTCCTCTACGTGGTTTGAAATCGTATTTAAGACACGACCGTACACGAGCAAAAGTTTCTAGGGTAATTTTTAAATTTATTGCACACTGTTACACAACAAAGCCACTACTGTGGCTGATACAAGACCAGCTTGTTCAGGCATTTTAAATTACACATTTTACATTACTGCCACCATTACAACAACTGCTGATATTTGTCATTTCTAACGATTAAGCAATCTGGCGAAGAATTGTTTGAATAAAAAAGGATAGATTTTTTTGCAGTACTAATTTAAATTGTCCAAATCAAATATTCTTATTGTTTAACTTATTAACTGGAGTAAAACTGACTTTAATGAACTTTTTGGATTTGTTTCGCTCTTTTCTGAGTCAAAACTGTTGTAGGTGTCGATTTATCATCTATTAGTTATTAGGGGTTCATCTTTTTTTGTCCAGAAACTAACAGAACAAAATTTGACTCTAACACATTAGCCCCTATCGCGAACACATACCTGATACTTGATAAAAATACGATTATTGAATACTACATTAAATGAAAGTTTAAACCTGACTACCATTTAATTTCATGATTCAATGATCCAGTTTTACACGTTATTTTGTATATCTTATGACTGCCAATCTGTTGTTGTTATCATTATAAAGGGATTTTTTTTTAATTTCTGACATTAAGTATAGTTTTCGTTGACTCATATGTGAAAAAAATCGAATTTTTAAACTTTTTTCGCACTCAATTTCCAATAATTCAAAATCGAGCGCAAAATCCCTAAAGCACAATTGTGGGGAAAGCCGTTACAGTCATTTTGAGCCGTAAATGAGGTATGTTTGACTCTCCATGCTTCCAGGTTTGAACGAGTTTTGCAGACATGTCATATCGCCCGAAACTGTGCATTGTGTTTTTCATAAAGGCGTAAAGAATCATTACAGTATTCAAGGTCACCCACGGATACGATAGTAGCTTCGCTACATGTTACATGTCCACAAAAAAATGATAGTGGACATGTACTGTCCTGTAAACTGTGTCTATAGAGAAGTGTTGTTTTTATTATCTGTTGCGAGTCACTCAGGCAGAAGGGCTTGTTTTGCCGCTTCATTGCAAATGACCGCAGGTGACCAGTAGGTGATCAAACACGTTTGAACACAGTTCGGATTCTATGAAATGTGGGAACTTTGCAGCCCAGATTTTACCACCGTGATTTGGCCAAAAAATTTAATTAATTAAAAGAAATAACAGGAGGAGGCGGAAGAGAAAAAAAATTGAAAAGAAAACGATTACATCCATACTTATGATACGGACTGAAATAATAATCTGACTGTAAACAGGCTGCTTTCACCTTTGAACTTTCACTCTAGCTGTTGACGGAAGTAAATTCAAACTTACATTTTCTCAGGGGAGATGCACACATTGGAATACTGAACGTCAATCACGTACGATGGAAATATTCCTTTAATATAAGAGACGTTAGAACGTCAATACGAGTGTCATCTTGAATTTGAAACCGTGTCAAAAAATATAAACACAATGCATATGACATGTCGATAACACAAAAACATCTATTAGGGCGATGACCGTGAAAATGCCTACGGCGTTCTTTACTGACGCAGTATGGAGTTATGTAGCCTGGGTACCAAACCTTTGGTCGGCTTGGCGGTAATTTTTCTGCCCCGGCCTTTACCAAGCACAGGCGAGTTATACCACGGACCTATCTCCAGCTGGTTTTCCTGTATCCGCTGACTTCCTGTATTACGCTTAGTCTTCTTTTGCCGCCGACCGTTGTGAGCGAACAAACCTACCCCACTCCCACGAAGCGCGGTAATTGAGGCCTGGCTGGCGGCCCCAAACGCTCTCGGCGCCGAAGGGATAGCGCTGAGCTTACGGCGGTCTGGTTAACCAGGCAGTTATGTGACCCACGACATTTAATTTCATAAGCACAATTGAGCTACGTAAATCTTTTGCTGGGTTTTTCTGTTTACCTTCCCTGAAGAAGAAACTGTGTACGTGTTTGTCTAAAGATAACATTGTGTGAGTTTCCGTTTGTGTAAAGTGCCTTTCCCAAGGGCACAAGATCGGTGACATGTCAGGACTCGAACCCGGGACCTCTTGGTTCCGAGTCGAGCATTCTGCCGCCACGCCACACGACCCCACACGATAAAACATATTTATACAATGACAACACAAACACACAGGTAAAAGACGAAGACGCCTAAGGCATTTTTGGCCGACGCTTTACCAAGTTATGTGACCCGTGACCTTTAATTTGAGGAACACAATTATACATCTTTTGTGGGGCCACAAGGAAACGGGACACGGTTTAGGCAGGTTTGTTTGTTCTGAAGAAGAAACTGTGTCTGTGTTTGTCTAAAGAAAACCCTGTGTGAGTGTTCGTCAGGACACCAGACATATCTTGTGAGATACAACGTGCAACTTCAAGTCAGACGGATAATTTTAAGACGACGACAATATAAGTGTTCTGCTGTTCACGTACACAATGAAGTTTGCCCTGGGGATAGTTGGCGCACTCATGGTGGCTAATTTTAGCTTGGGTAAGTACAAACATATCTCCGTACAAATTTGAGTTAACTTGACTAGATTTCTACTTATTTTTTTGCAGCATATAACCCTTTATATACGGTTACGTTGCTTGTAGTCCTAGCTGAAGGGCTAGTGATGTTAAAGCCTTGTCTGGCGTCTAATACGTGATATAGAGTCTTTGTTTTGTCAGTAGATTTGTATGGCGCGGCCATGTTTGTTGTGAACTGTTGTGTTCCCTTAGTTTCCTTCTCTTTTCTAGTTCCTGAGTTACGGACTGAACAAATAACACATCATTTGCAATTAATTAGTATAATTAAAGGGGTATGCAAATGTTCACAGCGTCTCTTTTTCTAGTTTGACATGCCGTTTTCACGATTAGAAATGACATACAATTATAAAACAGCACGTACTAGCACCCCCTCCCCCAAAGCCCTACTAGCTGGTCAACTTTGACCTTGAATATTGATGTTAACAATATTGCGTTAGATTATGTTACATTTAATCGACTCTACAGGAATTGGTAATTTTTAACGGGTATTGTGAAGATGGCGCTATCGTTCTTCGGTTCTTCATTGATGAATAATAGGATACATTTATCTACTTTTTTCCAGCTGTCTCCCAGACTATCCCAGCTCCACTAGGTAAGTGCATCAATGCGACAGACACATATGTAATCGTGCTGTTCAGCAGTAACTGTAAAGCGTATTGAAATTATGTCAAGAACAAAATATACATTGGCGTATTTTAATTACTTCTTTTATTAAAGTTGCATATCCGTAGTATTTTTTATTTATTTTTTCGTCTTCCGTCATCATAAGCTGATGCATGGCGGTTGCTGTATAATTTTGCGTTTCTGTATTTACCCAAGGTTCACCATGATGTGTTTATGTTTAAGTAAACATATAAATACATATTTTAATTCGCGGTTACGTTAATCAAAAAAAAAAGTCTGAAAGTTTTATATACGACCATTACATACGACGAGTATACGACCATAGTGATTAATGGCTTAAAATAATGCAATTTGATCTTTTAATTTGATACATTTTGAAATCTTTTTTTTCTAATTAGTAGTATCTACTTTATTGTGCAGACACAATAGGTGGGCATGTTTTTACCTCCATGAAAATGGAGATATTGTTTTTGGCGCGTCTGTCTGCGTGTGTGTGTGTGTGTGTGTGTGTCTGTCTGTCTGTCTGTGTGTGTGTTTGTGTTTCCGCAAATTTGTAGTCAGCATAATTTCATAACGCATTTATGGATTGTGATGATATTTGGCATGCTGGTAAGTCTTAGGAAGACGAAGGTCAAGTTTGAATATGGGCCTCCTGGTGGATGACCTTGGTACTGTAGCAGAACTTCCGGTTTTTGTATCTTTTGTCCTGAACATGCTATGGTCTTGACTTTTTGGTGACAGATAGATTTTCCTGTCAGGAATAAGTGGAATAAGTTTCCTGTCAGGATTAAGTCCCCTAGCAGCTTGTTCTGGAACTGCAGGGGACCTTTTGGCGAAATCTTTCAAAGCCAAAAAGTCCAGATAGGAACAACGTATTTTCATCATTTTCGGTAGGTAGGTAGCTGAGAGAGAGAGGTACATAAATAAATGCAAATTATGCACATGATGACTTTATTTGCATAATTAATCAGGAAATTCTATAATTACAGTGTTTTACATTATAGTACTTTTATACAAATGTCATGTAATGTATGTAACCTATGGAGGATGGAACATCAACAGCTACTAATTATGCAAATGATGACCTAATTTTGATAATTTGCATTTAATTATGTACACCTCTCTCTCGGCTACCTACCTACCGAAAATGATGAAAATACCTTGTTATGATAAAATGCTATTATATCTTAATGGTGAATGATGGGAATGTCATACTTGGGACATCTGTAAGTTAATAAAAAGTTAACATCACGATGCATATGTTAATGCAAAGGTCATTTGCATAATTAAAGAAGAAATTTATATTAACATATCAAGCCCACATTTCATGGAGGTATGAGATCTCGGAACTCTTGTTTTTTTTTTCCTTTTTTTTTCTTTTCAGCCACAATGTGCCCTCATCCAGTAGACCTGGTCTTCCTCCTAGACAGCTCGGAGAGTTTCAGGACAAGTGGTTTTGAGGAAGCAAAGACGTTTGTGCAGAATGTAGTCAACTATTTTACGCTGGGTGAAGACGACACGAGGGTCGGTGTTGTTACGTACAGCAACATCGACGCTCAGGTCACTCGTATCAAGCTCAATGACAATTACACCAGAGTTGAGCTCTTAACTGGAATTCGCAACATTCCGTACGACAGAGGCCATACCTTTACAGGACTTGGTCTCGATCACGTACGCAACTATTCTTTCCTCGAAGAAAATGGCCGGCGGAGTAATACTCTTGACTTTTTGATTTTATTAACCGACGATGAACCTGAGGACTCCGTCAGCGGCCCGGCACAGTCAGTACGTGATATGGGCATCACCGTGTTTGCTGTGGGCGTTGGCGAGGAAAGCGACATAAGTCAAGCTACTCTAGAGACTATTGCTGGAGATCCGAGCAGGGTGTTCAGACTGACGGACCATGACTTTCTTGTGGACGACTCACACCCCAGGATTATTAGAGAGGCTATTTGTGACGGTAAGTACTATGTATGACGCACCAGCTTATTCATACTTTTATAATGTACTGTCACACCTCATGGGCACCTTTGGGCACAAAAGAATGATTTTGTACTTTTTATCTTCGCCAAGAAGGCTATGTTTGCAGAGGCGTTCGTGTGTTTGTGTATGTTTGTTTGTGTGTGTTTGTGTGTGTTTGTTTGTGTGTGTGTGTGTGTTTGTGTTTGTGTGTGTGTGTGTGTGTGTGTGTGTGTGTGTGTGTTTGTTTGTGTTTGTGAACAGATGAGTCAAGAAAGCTTTGATGGATTGTCTTGATATGAAGTAGTTGAGTAGGTCTTGATGAGACATAGAAATAATTAGATGTTGGTAATGGTACTGCAGCAGAACTTTCGGTTTTTATAACTCGTGATCTAGACATGCTAGGATCACAAACTTTGCATGGTAGATAGCTCTTGGGCTTGAGCCATCTCGCTCTGGAACTACAGAGGCGTTTGTTGAAAAATGTTCAAAGGAGAATAACTCAAGAACCGATTGATGGATCGTCATGATTTTTGTTACGAAGGTAGTTTAAATGATATATTAATATTAGAATGATGCATATATGGATGCAATTTGCATAATCAATGATGAAATTCTCTAAATCAACTGCATTCCATGATAGAACTATTAAAGCTTGTGACACATAGTGAAGAACGAGAGAATTTGATTATGCAAATGAAGACTTAATTTGCATAAGTAATGAGGACATGTCATAATTCAATGTTGTAACTGCTTAAAATTTCATACTTTGGCATTTGAAAGTTAAGTGCAGGTGAACATCATTAAACATAACATATTTTAATACAGACCTCATTTGCATAATTTATGAGGAAATGCTATCATGACATTCTTTGTAAAGATAAGACTGCCTTTTGGTGTAGAATATGATCAACACATAATTCATGTAATTGAGCATCCTTATGCACAACAATTCAGATTAATCTACAATTTCTTAGTCATAAATGCTAACATCATTTGGCGAAGGTATGAGATCCTGGAACTCTATTTGTCTATTCATTAGGTTCTGACAGAACAGTACATTCGTCTAAAATTGCCTTTTTGTGGGGCAAATAAGATTCATTACCTGTAAATGTTAACGAAAAAACCTTTTTTGCTATAATATTATTTCAAGCAACAAGCTAAAATAAAACTTTTACGACGTGCACTGAGGTTAAAACTTGCATGCCTGTTCTACGTCGTTGTGTTTTTCTTCCCAGCTTTGACAAAAATGAACCTTTCACTTGATTACAGCAACCCAATGTCCAGCTCTGACCGCCCCAGATAACGGAGCGCTCAGTACCACAGCGACCTCCTACCAGACCGTGGTCACCTTCACCTGTAACACGGGATACGTACTGAATGGCGCTGTTACTGCAACGTGCACAGCTGACATTACATGGACTAATCCTGTACCAACATGCACACGTAAGACGATTTCGAAGTTGATATGTGATAGCAATCGGATTCATGGCCGGTACAGGTACTTGCTGTAACTATAAACTTTCTGTATTTAAAAAAATAGTATAAAAGAGGTCACTTCTGTAGAGGTCACTTCTGGTATGCATCTTCTGTATAGAAATATATTTCAGTAATAACGTGTTTTTTTTACTATTTTAGCGATCCAATGCCCAATATTGACGGCCCCAGCTAACGGAGCGCTCAGTACCACAGTGACCTCCTACCAGACCGTGGTCAACTTTACCTGTAACACTGGATACGTACTGAACGGCACCACTAATACGACGTGCCAAGCTGACGGAACATGGGACAATCCTGTACCAACATGCACACGTAAGGCGTTTTGACATCACAGAATACAGAAATTTACCAGATAGAAAAGAGCATGTTAAAAGGTAACCACGTTAACTTTGTTTATTCAAACAGCATAATTCTACATGTACTATAGAAAGGCTAACATTTCTTTGGGAGTAAATGAACATACCAGAAGTGGACCCTCCCGCACAAATGTACTGTTCCTCACAATCACCCCTGTCCAAAATGTTATATGTGTTCCAATAGTCTATACACCCATGCAGCAATAGAATCTTATTGCGCCTTCTGCTGATGGAAGCCGTAGAACCAGTGTTCTATTTAGTACTATTAGTTGAGGATTTGGGTTTTCAAGCTACAGTGGATGTTTTAACTGAAAGTACTAGAAAGGTAAATAAGTCTTTTGAATGGCTAAATCTGAATACTGAACTCTAAAGTCTATTGCATTTAGTAAAAGGCTAGCCTTATGCTAAATTTCAGGTCATATGGTTTTCATGTTAGCGCTCAGGATCCAAAAATGCACATTTTAGTAAGAAAAATATAAAAATTCCCATTTTACATAATTTAAAGTGACATGCCAAAAGCATATTAGTAATATTCTGTGGGCATGTATCCAAGGATGTCCTATACAAAATCTCAGGTTAACGTGGAAGTTCATTTGAGTTGCTAAAATAGATAAAGATAAATTAAATTGTTCTCCAACTGAGAGTTCAACCAACAGAGGAGAGTCCTTTTGGATTCCTACATAGGTCAAACTAAGCGCTTTCAAAGAATCAGGTTTATTGCATACGTTTAAAGAGTATCAATCATGTAGCTAGAAGACATCGACCAATCAGATGGCTCTTTTCCCCCGTAACTAAATTGTTAATGCCCCGCCTCAAGGTGTATATGGTGAGATACCCCATGGTCAGGTGCGATAACCACCGAATAAACCCCAGAGTGAGCGTAGGGTAACGAACGATGTGGTATGTGAGGTGGTTATTGCACCTGACCAGGGATTATCTCACCGTATACACCGAGGATTAGGCGGAGCATCAAAGTTATTATCATATAGACAATACGACTGGCACAGTTATTTTGCACAAATTCCTTTTTGAAATTCCTCAATTGCAAAAAAAATACCTCTCATTTTCTATGTTACATGAAACAAGATGGTGCAGACAGTAAACAATCTACGGTGACAACGTGACATTGGAACATTGCGAATTTTCGTGGGGGTGTCAAATTATGTTTAGTCTTTTCTTTTTAAATTTCATTTATATTTTTTTCAATTTTGTTTTAGTTTGAAAATATACAAAATAAACTACGTACGATTTCACAAGTAAAAACTACAAGTCTTAGCATCGCCGTTAGTTTCATGTCCCCTGTATAATGGTACAGTCCAAAAAGTGGTTGCTTATTCTAATAACCGACCACTTTTGAGGTAACGACCTGACACCCCATGGGAAATGGAGCGTATCCGATACACTAGCAGCTTTTAAATAACTGCCGGTGACCCATGACTCACACTGGTCCAATGAATTTGTCCAATTTGTATTGGTCGTATTACCGGCACGTGCAGTAGGTGATGTACTGGAGTTTTTTTCACATGCATCATTCTAAAACAGATCTCGGTTCAGTTTTGTGACGTCGTAGATATATATATATATACAACAGCGAGCAGATTATTATTGGAATGAGCAGAGCACTTTGGCCTAATGCCTCTGACCATTCACGCTTCGTTAAAAATTGAAAAATCTCAAGATTCATTCTCAAGATCTCAATATTTTAGACGAAATCTTGAGATCTTATAAGACAATCTTGAGATTGTTCATGACAATCTCCAGATCTTTCAGAAAATCTTGAGATGAAAACAAAAGGTCTCAAGATCTTTCCAAATGTTTTCAAAGTATCTTGAGATTTTTCCAAAGCATCTCGAGATGCTTTAAAAAATATCAAGATTGTTATATGAGATTTTTCAATTTTTAACGAAGAGTGAAGACCCCCACTGGGGGTCATTATGATCCGCTATGTAACAGAGAAGTTTTTGACAAAATATTGGATATGTACCTCTAAGCTGTAAATAGAGGCATTAGTCCAAAGTGCTCTGCTCATTCCAATAATAATCTGCTCGGTGTTATACATAGAAACCGGAGGACGGGCAGCTGACCTACGCTAATGCCGACAAACTAAGTTATGACTAGTTTATTTGGTGTCAACAATACATTTTTATTCAAATCAGATTTTATCAATTTCAGGCACTACGTGTTCTTATCCAGTAGACCTGGTCTTCCTTCTAGAAAGTTCGCAAAGTTGGAGGACAAGCGGTTTTGAAGATGCAAAGTCGTTCGTGCAGAATGTAGTCAACTATTTTACACTCGGAGAAAACGACACGAGGGTCAGTGTTGTGACGTTTAGCAACATGGATGCTCAGGTTACTCGTATCAAGCTCAATGAAAATTACACCAGAGTTGAGCTCTTGCAAGAGATTCGTAACATTCCCTACGACAGAGGCCTTACTTTCACAGGACTTGGTCTCGATCACGTGCGCAACTATTCCTTCCTCGAAGAAAATTGCGGACGGAATAGTACTCTTGACTTTTTGATCGTTATAACCGACGATGAATCTGAGGACGACATAAGGCTCCCGGCACAGTTAGTACGAGACATGGGCATCACTGTGTTTGTTGTGGGAGTTGGCGAGGAAAGTGACATTAGTCAAGCTAATATAGAGGCTATTGCTGGTGATCCGAGCAGGGTGTTCAGAGTGACGGACCATGACTTCCTTGTTCAAGATGCACAAGTTGCACCTATAAGAGAGTCAATTTGTAACGGTGAGTGTTACACCTATACAAGTTACTGAATGCGTCTACTGTTCCAAATGTACTGTCGCGCCTCATGCTTGTCTATGCATACTTTAGAATGATATTATCCTCTCTCTTTTCATATGCATAATATACTTCAAGAAAAGATGCCCATTTCTATTACAGTACGCTAACGCACATTATAATTAGATAGGTATTTGAGAAGAAATTAGTTTGATATGTTGCATCTCTGAAGAACTAACCATACATGTAATTGGGTTAAAAAAATAAGGGGCATAAAAGGAAAGACAATGCATTCTTCCTAGGACAACTGTTGTGCAATAAAAGTTCACCTGCGCATGCCGTAATTAGATGGAAACAACATCGTGTTTGCATTGACAATATAAGGCGAAAGGTTAGACACAAGCACAAAATTTTTATTAGAGCTAATGAAATTCTATCTCACAGCTGCTAACCTGTGTGAGCCACACCCATGTGACAACAACGCCACCTGCCGACTGTTGGGAAGTACCTTTGAGTGCAGCTGTGACGTAGGACTCGTGGGCGACGGTTTCAACTGCTCAGGTTCGTCAAAAGTTGAAAAAAACTGAGATTCTGTTGCAATTATTATTTATTCTGACAAGTTTCGCTATCGTTTTTTTTTTAGTGATAGTGATTGTTTGGGCATGTTGATTTGATTATATAGATGACATCCTTTGGAAATCCCAAAACTAAGGCGAGCGTGCCGATAAAAAGGTTGCCTACTTAATTAAAAGTAAATTGAAATGCCATCCATATAGATAAACCAATATGGCCATAACAAATGAACAATCATATGAGAACTTTTGTACCAACAACTGTTAGGCTCTGGAACAGTCTTCCAAGGAAGATCACTGAGTTCAGGGACAGACAAAGATTCCAACCTTAAGTTAATTCTTTTCTCAGCGCAAAACTTTGAAGGCAGTCCTGCTGCTAATGCTGAGTGAGAGCTGACAGATTAAAAAAAGTCCTTCTCAGTCTCGTTTTTTGTTCTCATTCTATTTTTTTTTCAGTCGTACAATGCCATGTTCTGACGGCACCAGTGAACGGCGCGCTGAGTCCCACAGGCAGACGTCAGTACCAGGACGTGGTCACCTTCACCTGTAACCCGGGGTACAGCCTGGTCGGCACAGCCAGCCTTACCTGCCTACTGAATGGCACCTGGAGTGCGAGTCCACCGACATGCAACCGTAAGGCCCCCATTCCACTTTGTGGTGCTCTTACTGCGCTCTGAAATTGGCCAGAGCGCAATGACAGCGCGGAACTGCGCGAAAAACGTGCTCAAGTGGAATCATTACGGCGACCTCTCTGCGCGACCAAAAACTCAAATGTCAGCAACGTTTATGGGCAACCAACGAATTCTTAGGTCACTGAACGAATTAGGGAAAGAGAACGAAATTCTGTACGTTTGTTTGTTTTGTTGTTGGTGGGGGTCTCAACCAGGTCTGCCATTGTCAAAATGTGGCGAATCTCTTATTTCAGCGAATTCGGCTACTATTCAGCCAGATGTTTTAAAAGGCTGAAACATTCGGGGATCTGCTGGAAGGTTCAATCATATTTGGCTGTTTTTTGTCCAACCAAGCACGTTTGGGGGTACGTTAGCAGTGTTCCGAAGCGTTTTCATGATAAGGGGTCAATTTCCACTCGAAGTCGTTTTTTTTATTCGCAGAGAAAGTTATGCATGGCCTATATCTGGTCAGAGTGCTCCCGAACGTCAGTTGAACCTGAATTCGTGAATGCATGAGAGTAGCGCTTAACCCTATCTAGACTGGTGGGGGGGGGGACTAAAAGTGCCCGCGGAAACTTTGATGTCAGATAGCGTACGAACGGCTTGCGCTTGAGCCATCAAACTTGTTGATTTTACCTAAAATACTGTTGGCAACAATTTTGGCTTAAACGATACAATTTTTAGACTTTTGTGTTAATTTAAACATGCTCTAATGTAATTTTATGTAATTTTATGTAATTTCTATCACTTATTATGCGTAATTTGCGTTAATTTGACGACGGCATTGTTTAAAATCTAAGATGGCGGACCATTTAAAAAATTGATCAGGCTTTTTGCCTGAAAATTGCATCACTATTTCAACTTTTTTATTTTAAAGGTTCATTTTAACCTGTTTTGTCCATTCCATTGTCATTTTAGGCTTTACGTTGAACAAAATGATAATTTGAAAATTCAAGGTTGACAATCCAAGATCGCCGTTAGTTTAAATACGCATGACTTCATTTTTTGACGACACTAGTGTTGCTATGGGCAACATATGTTTTAGTAGACCTCAATATTCTATTATAAACACTTTTTTTTAATTTTATGTTGTGTATCATTACGTTTTACGAGAAAACCGATTTAGATGATTTTAGGCAATAAATTAACATGACTGACGTCATAATGACGTCATATTACGCCATAATGATTGAATAATGAAATAACGCCATAATAATGAAAAGTGTTGTTATGATTATTACTAGTTCCCCATCTTGTAAGAATTTGGTGGTCATACAATGTACTGTTCATGAGTTCTGAGGGGGAGGGGGCGAATGAGTCCCCCCCCCCCGTCCCATGGATCCCCAAAAAAGCCCAGTCTAGAAAGGGTTAAACAAAATGTCTATTACCCACGTAGGATTCTACTCTAAATATGGCATATACATGAAAAAATATTCTAATTTATATATATATTACTTTCCATTGTAGCCAGAACATGTCCAACTCTAAATGGCCCAGTTAATGGAATCAACTCCTACCAGACCGTTGTCGGGTTCTCCTGTAACCCGGGTTACGTACTGAACGGCGCTGTTACTGCGACTTGCCGAGCTGACGGAACATGGAGCAATACTGTACCTACATGCACACGTAAGATGAATTTGCCCCTTTTAGGGAATAGCAATATTAAAATAGGGTATAGAATTTTCTTCTTACACAACCATTAAGTTTCTCACCTACTTACGTTTCGATGTCTATCAGACACCTTCCTCAGAGATTCTGACTGGAGTTCTGCAACTCGCCGCCATTTAACGCCAATGTAGGTGGCGCTTTTGCGGCGAGAATGCAATCCCAAACGTGGCTGAGCTTGTATCTCCCCTCGTCCCGGTTCATCACTGGGGATACAAGCTCAAGTCACGGGTTCAAAGTTTCAAAGACCTTTCTGTATTCAAAACATGATATATTGAAAATAATTACAATGCGCATCTTCGAATCAAAAATAGATTTTATGATTAAAGGCTATGGGCCATTACAGTTGCAGTATGTCCAGCTCGGGCGGCCCCAGCTAACGGAGCGGTGAGTCCTACCGGAGCGGTCTCCTACCTGAACGGGGTCACCTTCACCTGTAACTCGGGATACGTGCTAAACGGCTTCGCTTTTGCAACGTGCCAAGCAGACGGAACGTGGGGCAGTCCTGTACCAACATGTGCACGTAAGATAACTTGCATTTTTTGACAAATTGCAATGTCCATCAAGTCACAGTATACAAATATCCACCAGATAGCAAGATGAGCAGTCGAAGGGATCGAATCACGCAGCCTTTCGTTATTCAAAACATGATAGACAGGTATTGCCCATTTAGGCTCCCTCAGTACAGAAATAGGCCCCGTAATAAACGGTTATTGACCATTTCAGCCATACAATGTCCACCTAGGACGGCCCCAGCTAACGGAGCAGTGAGTCCAACCGGAGCGGTCTCCTACCCGAACTCGGTCACCTTCACATGTAACTCGGGATACACACTGAACGGCATTGCTACTCAGACGTGCCAAGCTGACGGAACGTGGAGCAATCCTGTACCAACATGCCAAGGTAAGATCACCTGCAAGTTTATATATGCTACATTTAGTCGATACAAGCTAAGTTAAAATGTCGCTTTATAACCAAGATGTACATGCCATATTCTGCAGAAGGAATACATGGTGATTTGATTCTCTACTTTGCCCAAATTGTTTCTATCTGTACTTTCAATTGCAGGGGTTATAAGTAAACCTACAACTGATTCTACCACAATACAAACAACATTTATTTCCACAACAATTTTGGCCGAGTGCCCAGTACTCACTGTCCCAACAAATGGAAGTTTAAGTCCTGTTGGTTCCAACTCCTACCAAGACGTAGTGACTTTTAGCTGTGACCAGGGGTACGAGTTGGACGGCAGTACCAGTGTCACCTGCCAGGGGGACGGGACCTGGAGTGGCAATATTCCAGATTGTAATGTTAAGAGTCTTTTAAATATGAAAATGTGTTTTCGAAGCGAATTCAATTTTTTCAGCTCGGTTCTTTTGTCTGTTATCAACTTTTCTGGTGCAATTTGCACGCTTTTATTACAGGCAGCGGAAAGGAGACCTCTTTTATTATTGGAACTAGCCGTGTACTTCTGGCTGTCGCTTATAGTATCTAGAGGACCTGCCCTACATGCTTCTGTAACAAAGAATTGCGTCCTCGCCTAGTTTTCCATAACCTATTGAAAAGTAGGCATTAAATATACAAGGGATACGAGCTGAACGGCTTCGCTTTTGCGACGTGCCGAGATGATGGAACATGGAGCAATCCTGTACCAGCATGCACAACGTAAGATGATTCGCAAGTTGATAATTTTAATGTCTAATGTCCAGAGAGCAAAGAGAATATAATAAGGAACCCACAAGACCACAACGTCAAAAAAAAGGGTACAAAGTTTCAAAGACCTTTCTGTATCCAAATCATGATATACAGGAGAAACCGATGATAACAATGCGCATCTTCAGTTCAAAAATAGATCTTATGATTAAATGCTATTGACCATTTCAGTTGTAAAATGCCCAGCTCGGCCGGCCCCAGCTAACGGAGCGGTGAGTCCTACCGGACCGGTCTCCTACCCGAACGGGGTCACCTTCACCTGTAACACGGGATACATCCTGAACGGCGCTGTTGATACAACGTGCACAGCTGACGGAACATGGGGTAATCCTGTGCCAACATGCACAGGTAAGACGATTTGCAATTAAATATTTCTTACCACTATCAAGTTGTACTATAGTAAAAAGACTATACATACAGCAGATAGTAAAGGGAATGTTAGAAGGAAACCACGAGTCTTCTCTGTTTTTAAAGCTTGATATGCAAGAATAACCCATGATAAAATGCACATCCTCAGCACAGCAAAAGATCCTTATGATAAAAGCTTTTTAGCTGCAGAACTAGAATGCCCGGCTCGGCCGGCCCCAGCTAACGGAGCGGTGAGTCCTACCGGACCGGTCTCCTACCCAACGGGGGTCACCTTCACCCTGTAACCCCGGGATACACACTGAACGGCGCTGCTTCTCCGACGTGCCAAGCTGACGGAACATGGAGCAGTCCTGTGCCAACATGCGCACGTAAGATAACTTTTTTTTACAAATTACAATGTCCATCGTGTTGCAGTATGCAAAAATCCACCAGATAGCAAGGTGAGCAGTCGAAGGGAAACACGAGGCATTTCTTTACTTAAAACATGACAGGCAGGTATCGCCTATTGGGTCTCCTTCAGTGCAGAAATAGGCCCCGTAATAAACGTTTATTGACCATTTTAGCCATACAATGTCCGCCTCGGACGGCACCAGCTAACGGAGCGGTGAGTCCTACCGGACCGGTCTCCTACCCGAACGGGGTCACCTTCACCTGTAACTCGGGATACACACTGAACGGCGTTGCTACCCCGACGTGCCAAGCTGACGGAACATGGAGTAATCC